GCTGGTGACAAAAAGGGAGAGTTACTGGTTTTAGGCCTTGTGATCCTCCCACAGGCAATTGGTTGGCAGCTGTCAGCTATTTTGATGCTAGGCTGGATGGAATAAGGACGTTTCTTAGTGTTTGGGATCTGCAGTTAGTAAGGGCAGGCAGGGTCCTGGACTGGACTCCTGGGGAAGAAATTACAGAAGCACAGCTTGGCTCAGGTATGGCCAACCCACATCGCCATGTCATTCTGTTAGCATGAATAGGCCCTGGAAAGCTAGGGCACTGGGGGAAACTAAACGTGTGACGGACCACTTGCTTTAAAGCCTGGATGTGAAACAAGGTCTCCTTTGCAGTATATGCACCCAAAGTCAGGGCGCTTGAGGAAGCAAAGACGCATACCATCACTTGCCTATTCAGACATAGTAGAACCTGCTTCTTGAAATCCTGAAAACATTTGAACCCAAAGCCATTTGTGTAGAATGTGGACCCAGAACAGCCTTCTCCTTGGCACTGAGGTTGTGGGGGGCTGGGAACGTGGGAAATGTTCACAAAAGCTCGTATTACCTAATGCGGTGGCTTCTTATTGTTCCTGTGTCTCTTTGCCATTTGGAAACTTGTGTTGGTAAGCTGGGCCATGAGGTGGCAAGCTACCAGGCTCGCCCTGAACTAAGAAATGATGAGTGACCCAGAAACCGTATGAAGCCATTTCCACTGGCTGCTGGCATCCAGGTGACTGCCCGGTCACCTTTCCTCTCAGGAGCCACTGCCTTCCAGGCACTGCTGAGTCACTCTGCAAGGCAAGGAGATGTTGACAACTCAGTCCAGACTGTCATGAGTACTTAGTGGGTGTCTCCAGGAAAGAAGCTGCACCTTCCTCTTAACCAGTGCCCCTGTGGAGATGCTGCCTATCATTAAGAATTGCACCACTCGGCTCAGGCATTCTTGTTTTTCCAATTCCAGGGCTAGCAGGCAGAAGGCACCAAGGTTTAGCAGGATTAGAGAGCAAAGGGAGAAGCCAAGATTGACGAGTGGAGAGGGGGCACAGAGAATGATTAAGATGCCGTGTGAGGTGCAATGGTGCCCAATACCCAGAATTAGGCATAGATGCTTTGTTGGCCTATTATGCTTTCGACTTTGCTCTCTCAAGAGAAAGCTGTGTGTGTCTGATTGTCCTCATTTCACATTATGCGTCCTAGAATAACTGAAACCGTGTGCCATCATCTCTGCCTGCCCAGTTGGTTTCTCTCATCATCTGCAGGCATATACTAGAAAGTTGGGGAAATCTGCATTGTTAATACCCTGCCTTTGCTAGGCATTCATGTGGGTACTGCAGTACCAAAGCATCGTCATCATCATCATCAGCAGCAGCATCATTAAATTTGTATCCCGCCCTTCACCTGAAAATCAGAGGTGGCTCACAACATAAAAAGGTTCCCCTTTCATCCTAAGGTAAAGGTAAAGGGACCCCTGACCATTAGGTCCAGTCGTGACCAACTCTGGGGTTGCGGTGCTCATCTCGCTTTATTAGCCGAGGGAGCCGGCGTACAGCTTCCGGGTCATGTGGCCAGCATGACTAAGCTGCTTCTGGCGAACCAGAGCAGCGCATGGAAACGCCGTTTACCTTCCCACCGGAGCGGTACCTATTTATCTACTTGCACTTTGACATGCTTTCGAACTGCTAGGTTGGCAGGACCTTTCATCCTACATATTTATAATTTCAACAGCATACTGAGGAGTCTTAGCAGCTCAGTGAGGGAAGGGCTGCGTTGAGAGCTAACATACCTCTGTTGAGAGACAGGCAGTGTGTACAGGGCCAGCCCAAAACATTTCTGTACCTGATGCTGAAATTCCTAGTGACACCCACCTTCCCACTCACTAACATGGGGGCACAGTCCGCTGGGAACTTGTACAAGCCTGTTGAAGTGTACGGCGCTTGTCTGATTTCTGTTCATGTTAGTGGAGCTTCCATAGGATAATTTCCTACTGGAAATTGAACCAAATAGAAAGATGTTCTTGATTGGTAACTGATAAGCAACACATTAGATTGCCTACATGGTTCATCGCAGGACCATCCTTAGGGTGTACAGGAGGGTTGCCCCAGGTGTTGTTGGAGCCCAATTCCCATGGGCCCCAGGCAACCCAGACAAAGGCCAGGGATTTGGGGAGATGCAGTTGAAGAACAATCCCAATCCTTGGTGTAGCGGTTGGGATGACACCTACTTTTCTGTTTTGGAGGTGACAGAAGGAGGTCCCTTGACATGGAACGTTAGCAGAGGACTGAACTCATTGTCTCCTTGTGGTCAACACCGGCTCTTCCTCATGCTTTGCCCAACACAGAATCAGATGGAAATCAAGAGGCTGTGTAGGAACAAGTCTAGGAACTGGCAGATGTGCTGATTAACCAAGCGAAGCAGTGTTACGGCAGCCAGGTCAGGATAGGGAAAAGATCCAACCATTCATTCTAAACCGTCCTAAGAGTGGTGGAGGAAAAGGATCCAGATAATTAGAGAACCCCAAGCGGAGTCAGAGACTGGCCACAAGAGGCCAGCCCTTGAGTCAGAGGCCCGGATTTCCTATTCCAGGCAATTCAGGGTTGCTCAGTGAGTCAACTCGTCAGCTATGCAGAAAGGGCAGCCCCACAGCCCTACAGAAGGAAAACTAGCAGTGGGTGGCACCTTTGCCAATGCGCTTGTGGCCCTGCCCTGGTTTCCTCGCCCTGGCACAGGGCTGTGTGAGACGAGCCTCACGTGTACAAGAGGCACCTTGTTTGTAATACTAACCTCCTGGCACAATGCCCTGGCTGTTATGTAAGCACTGGGGTTGCAGGCTGCTGGAGGGAAGCCAGGTCCATGCAGGAGGGAGGAGACCTGAGGGCAGAACAGGGGAAATAAGCTCCAAAGAGCCGAGTGACTCGGGCATCATGTGGGAGGGAGGGAAACCCTGAGCCCTGGGCCCGGCTGGGGCCGCCCGTTCTTTGAACCGAACCCCACACCCTCAACAGTGGATGAGGAAATCACCCCAACCCCAGATCCAGCTCTTCTGCCCCAGTCTCTTCTGGGTCCGGCTTCCTTTCCTTGGAGCTCAGGGAATAAGAAGGTGGGAGCTCTCTGGTCCCCTTCCCTCCGTCCCAAACAGGCAGCAATAAGAGAGAAGCTAAAGGCCAGATTTGCTGTACAGGTTGGTTTATTAACATGACACAGTGTGCCTGCCTTAATAAGCCTGGAAACAAGTTATAATGGCCCAGAAGACACACTGCGGGCAGACACTGTGTGGCTGTCAGCTTCTTATCTCCTCGTGAGGGAGGTGGGCAAATGCCTTTATCCACATTACAGATAGATGCCAACATAGCAGGGGGTGCTTCAGTAGTCGTTCATGCATGTCAGAGCTTGGAGGGCGCAACAGCCATCGACACACCCCCCCTGCAAGGTGGACAGACTGGCAGGAGCTCCTACTTCCCTGGAGTTCTGCTCTCCGAGTGCCTTCCTTCCTTGTGGGTCCAGCAGCTCTGGACTGGTGAAGAAAATTACTCATCCAGATAAAGCATTTCCCCACTCGCTTTCCTCCCAGTCTAGGACTTATCCCTATCTCCACAGCTGTAGGTTCCTCAGCACATGCATTGTATCTTGCAGACTCACCTGGAGCAATCGCTATGACTAGCACTAGGTCTCATATGGTTTGGGGGACATAGAATGCATATTGGCCAGGCTCACACAGCTTGTGACCCACCAGGTCAAACACAGTCCACTTGCCACGTATTCTGGCTTCCCAAATGCTTCCCAATCCCGTTTTTTTGTTGCCCCAGGCAAGGAAGATTGATCAGGCCCAACAGGCTAAATTTGGTTTGGTCAGACAACAGAAATACTACACGGGTTGTAAAGTCTCAACAGAAGTGAACCCGGCTTTCCCCTAAAGCCCCACTTCATTGCTATTATTATTTCCAGTGGAATATCTGATGCCCAGGGATCCAGCTCTCTTCAGGAAAACAAGTGATTTTTTTCACCATCAGGATAGCTGAGGAAAGATGAGTTAATGGCTTTTGCAGGATAACAAGTGGGAAATTTGAGAGGGAGGGCAAAAGTAAAAAAAGATTTCTGCCATCAGCTCGCATTGCATAGAGGGTATCTCTCACTTCAGAGGTAACTGGACTGGGAAAGCACCAGTGAGTGAGGAAGGCGGCTGGAGACAGACTGGGAGCTGAACCAGGCAGAAGAATGGTCAAGAATACATATGGAAGAACCCTAGTGATTAGGGTTCGATGTTGCCGTTTGCAGCAGGGCTGCCAACTCTCTGACCATGACCCAAAGTTGCAGGGTTTTTGCTTCCTTCTTAAGATTTACAGGCCAAAGAATAAAACCTCAGAGTGAGGGGGCAGATGCAAAGAGGGAAGAGAAGGCTATTTTTCTCATATGGTGCATCCAGGACCTAACCACTTAGTGTTGGTAAACGGTAAATGGTAAAAGGCAAAGGACCCCTGGATGGTTAAGTCCAGTCAAAGGATGACTATGGGGTTGTGGCGCTCATCTCGCTTCAGGCCGAGGGAGCCAGTGTTTGTCCACAGCCAGCATGACTAAACCACTTCTGGCGCAACGGAACACCATGAAGCCAGAGCGCACAGAAACGCCATTTACCTTCCTGCCACAGTGGTACCTATTTATCTACTTGAACTGGTGTGCTTTCAAACTGCTAGGTTGGGAGCTCACCTCGTCATGGGGATTTGAACCGGCGACCTTCCGATCGGCGAGTCCAAGAGGCTCAGTGGTTTAGACCACAGCGCCACCACGTCCCTTAGTGCTGATTTAACTTACCACTAAATAACCTTGGGCACTGTAGGTTTAACGAGAGTTTAGGATTTTCAGCCAGGAAACTGCTGCCACATTTACAAGGCTACAATCCCCAAGGTTTAAGTGGATGCACCTGCCATTCCTCCACTGGGCTCCATCCTCCTCCCATGTTCTCAAGAACAAGGTAAGGCTTGTGAAGCGGACTGAGCACTGAAAGGAGTTTAAAGCCATGAGTGGGTGGTGAGAAGTTTGGTTGAGAATTTTTGCCCATTTCCTCTGAAATCAGATTTCACCCCTGACCCACCAGGCATCACTAGGCCCCGCCCCTGCCCTGGCAGGCTCCACCCCCTCTTATGCCAAGCTGTACCCTGTATTTCAGGGTCTGAGCCTTTGGAGGCCTGGCAGCATTGTGCCTCTGGGCAGAAGCTACAGACATGCTCTGAGGTTACAGTTCTACAGCGAAACAAGACACTGCCAACTTACAGAACCATCATGCAGGATGACTTCATTGCCCACAAACACAGATGACACAACAGCTGCATGATGGGGCAGCATGGTTGGCTGCAGGAAAATGTATTCGCGACCGACTTCAACCAAACTGGCAGCTGTAGGAGCTGCTGGCACAACTGCGATGCGCATCGATGGCAATGCCCATCCTCGTTTTCCAGCACCATTATTGCCTTCCTAGTGTACATGCCAAATGGTTCTACCCTCCTGGTGCCAGCTCTTGCCACTAACATGCAACAGCCCAGTGGGCCAAGGACTGCCGTGGTAGTTCTACATTAAGGGGCATGCATTTAGTACATTGGCAGGAGATGCCATTTTGTGCAGCTGGTCAGAGGTTATGCTATGTGAGCGCCCATTGGGCACCTCATGTAAGAATAGGGGCAGAAAAGTATTAATAATATTGTGGAAAACTGTTTCCCCCGTTCTCCAAAATGGACTCAACACGCATTTGCAGGTTGGGATCCACCATGAGCTCAGACTGCACTATAATATGCCTCTTCACCAACCAACCACCTACCTTTAATGGTTTTCAGTTGTCTGAATCACTGTCTGAGAAACCACTTATTTTGATGGGCTCATTAAGCCAAGTTTGAAAAGACGTGGGCTCTCAATTGCTCTCTCTCTCAAGAATCACTAGTCTGTCTGGCTTTGCCTTTGCAAGATACTTTGGTTCCTAAGGTGGAAAATCCAAATGGCTCACCTCTTCCACTACTTAAGTCAAGAAGTGAGTTCACCAGGCATAAGCCCCATTTAAACAGGGCTGGTACAGGGATATTTGCCAATCAGTCGTGACCCCTAGGCCAGATATTCCGATCTCCCACTTTTCATAGTGCGTCAAATCTGCCACCTGAGGGGACCTTTATAGTTCAAGCACCTCTGCTTTTTCTAGAGGTGGGGCCAATCTGCCTTTTTCTCTATCCAGGCACATTCAAATCCAGACTTTTGTTTAGTTTCAAACAGACGTACAATGCTAAGAACTGACCGATGTGCAATCTGCTTTGCCAGGGAGTTCAATTTGATGTTTAAAGTGCTCACTTTGGTGAGATGATTTAGCTAAGTATTAGAACTGCAAAACAATAAATTCAGGGTTTCTGCATCTTCCTGCCTCACCTAAGGGCGTCAGGAAAGATGAACTTGCTTTGGACATGTGCTACGGGCAAATTGAAAGTGGGGGTGGGGACTTTGGCTGTTGAGGGATGGGAGCTCCCTTGCTGACTGCTGCCGTGGTGCCAGCCTGGACCGGCATCTCTCAATCAATCAATGACGAACTCGCACGAAGTTGGACACCCCCTCTGCATGCAAGGACCCAGACGCAACAAGAATTATATTTGGGTTTCTGCACTTTGTGGGTTACTTGGTCTGCGCATGTTCTGATGTCTTTTCCCTGCACATCCATTCATTCCCCGTTATCCTACAGACTTCAAGGAGTAGCTTGAAACACGGGGCCTTGGGAGTAGCTTTGGGGAAGGGAGTGATCACAGTATTAACCTTTTCATGTATAGAGTAGTCTTGCTCATATATATATATATATGTATATTTATATAAATAATATAATATAATATATATAGAGAGAGTTATGTATAGGTACTTTACAAGGCCTAACACCAGGCATGCCATTTGCAGGAGGGTGGCCGGGGGGCGGGGCTGGGGAAGGCATCATTGCCTCTGCCCTTCGTATTTACAGGGAACTTACAGGTCAGCCCCCTCCAGCTTCGATGTGGGTGCCCTAACCAGCCCCACTGCTGCCACGGCTGCAAGGCAAAGATGAAGGAGGTGTCCTAAGGAGCGTGGTCTGGGGGTCAGTACAGTGAGAAAGGCAGTCCTCTGGGTCAGCGTGCTGCCCCCTTTTTCTCCAGTGCAGGCGGTGAAGGCCGTGGGGTGTCTCCAGCACACTTGTTCCCGGATCCCAGAGCAGACCCCTCTTCCTTCCCCCGCTTCCCCTTTGCCTCCGCTGAGCCCCGCTTCAGCCCGTTCTTGGTCCCCTCTGGGCAGAGGCAGCTGGGGGTCTTGGCGCAGGTCCCCAGGGTGGTGTGCTCCTCCACGACCTCCAAGATCCACTTCTCCTTGGGTGTGCCAGCGTTGTCCTGGCCATGCTCCGGGGCAGCTTTCCCAGGAGGGCCAGGCTCTTGGATCTCCTTGGGTTCCAACACAATGGGGACAGGCCCCCGCGGGGCGACTTCCACCTCCACGCTTCCTTTCCTGCCTTGCTCGTGCTCTTGCACGGGGCTCAGGGCTTTGGCCAGGGCACGGTTGGCTCCTGCAAACGCCTCTTCGGTCTGCACGGCTTGGCTTCTCCTGCAGTCCCCCAGCAGAGCTTCCGGGAGCCTGGCCTTGATGCTGGCTTCCAGGGCGCTGGCCTCTCCATCTCCTGCCCCAAAGCTAAGCGGGGATTCCTGGCGGCCCAGGCGCCGGGTGGCAAGCGGCTTTGGAGCCCCCGACTCGCTGGGGCTCTCCCCATCGGACTCCGCCAGGCTGTGGAGTCCAGGCTCCCCATAGAAGTCCTTGCGGTATTCGGAGTGAACCACCTCCAGGCTGTGCTTCCTGACCACCACTTTCTTCTCGGAGCTGAGCGGGGAGCCCAGCTTCTCCGCCGACTGCACCCGCTTCAGTAGAGGCGAGCGAGGGGGCTCTGCGCTCTTGGGGCGCGGCCTCACCACGGGCGGCGAGGAGTGGAGCTTGGCCGGGAAGCTCTGCGTGGTGTTAGAGCTGCCCACCGTGTGGCCGGGCAGCGGGGGTGGCGAGGACTGCGTGGGAGAAGGCGTGTGAGCCAGGGGCGAGAGGGGGATGTTGCCGGCCGACTTGCAGCGCGCGGAGCGGTACTGGCGGTGCAGCTTGGGAGACAGGCCGTGCAGGGTGCTGGGCCGCATGTGGTGGGACGAGGAAGCCGGCGAGTTGGGGGTGCTGGAGGCTGGGGAGCTGCTCTGTGAAGAGGCACCTGTGGGGGGGGGACAAAGGGGAAGGGGGCAGGCTGAGAGGCAGGAGACCAGCAGCCCTTGCTGGGCACCAGGTACGCTCCAAGCCAATCTCAACTCCCTCCGGGGTGAGAGGCAGCAAGAGCTCACAACATGCAATTCTGGCCCCCCCTCCCCACTGCCACCCCATTAAGAACATCTTTGGGGGACAAATGGATTTGTAAACTAAATGAATATTTAATCTTGGCAAAATTAACTGCTATAATAAGAAATCAGTCAAATAAAAAATTTAAAAAAGGAGTGGAAATGTTTTGATGACTATATGGCAAAATATTGCTAAAAAAAAAGATACAATAATATGCCTAGATTAAAATGTGAAGTACTGGATGGAAGAAAAATTACCGTATTTTTTGCTCCATAGGGCGCACCGGACCATAGGGCGCACCTAGTTTTTAGGGGGGGGAAATCAAGGAAAAAAATCTTATTCCCCCCCCCAGCCCCAAAGAGCAGCGTACAGGCTGCGCAACCTCTCCCTTCTGGAGGGGTTGCGCGGGGCTATGGCACAAGCCAAGGCAGCGAGTGGGATGGATCCCGCTCGCTGTTTTGGCTTCCTCTTTAGCCCCACGCAACTTCTCCCTGCCGGGAGACGCTGCGCAGGGCTAAAGAATCCATAGCTGCGTGCAGCCTCTCCCTGCCGGAGGGGCTGTGCGCGGCTATCCCTGAAGCCTGGAGAGCGAGAGGGGTCGGTGCGCACCGACGCCTCTCGCTCTCCAGGCTTCAGCGAAAGCAACGTGAAGCCTCCGGAGCGTGGAGGGAGCGCTCCCTCTGCGCTTTGGAGGCTTAGCATTGCTATCGCTGAAGCCAAGGAGCCTTCATTCGCTCCATAGGATGCACACACATTTCCCCTCAATTTCTGGAGGGGAAAAAGTGCATCCTATAGAGCGAAAAATACGGTAGTAAGGAAAGATAATAAGAATATATAGATGATTTGAGAATATTGGAGAATGCAAAGATTATTGTAAATTGTATAATGTGGAGGAAATCAAGTGGGGGTGGAGGGAAGTGGGAGGAAGGAGAAAAGAATAATATGATGGATTGAGGAAATAGAAATGTAAATGTATGGGGGATGGGGAGGAAATGGTGTTGGCTTTGGTACATCTGTATTGTAATGTAATATGTGAAAACCAATAAAACGAAACAAAACAAAACAAAAAGAACATCTTTGGGAGCAAATGTCCCCCACCTCCCTAACCCTCTCCCCACCCGCCCGCTGCAGCCCAGCCCCCGTGGGCTTCTTACCTAGGTAGGCAGAGTCAGGGGTGGAGCGCAGGCTCTGGGTGGGCGAACGAGCGCCCAAGCCGTGGGTGGGAGAGCCCGGCAAGCTGTCGCTGGAGGACAGCGAGCGGTTCAGCGACGAGAGGCTCCGGCTGGTGTGCAGCAGGTTGGACTGCTTGGTGATCTTGCGGAAGAGGGAGCTGCGCTTCTTGCTGCTACGGAAGGAAGGGGAGCCATTAGCCAAGAGGGGAGCCAGCCCCTTCCTCTCCACCCCCCGCCCGGTTATTGCACCTCACCTGTCCTGCCCTTCCTTGCTGGTGCTCCTCTTGTTCCTCCGAGCCATCTTGGATTTGTAGCTGCTCTTGCGGGCTGGCCCAATCCGGATGGAGGTGTTCTCAAAGGGCGTGGTGGTCACCATCACTTTGTTCCCGCTCTGTGGCGAAAGAGAGGGGAGAGCTGGCTGTTGGCACAGCAAGCAGACGCAGCACTTTGCCCAGGTGCCCTCGGAGGCCACGACTGCTCTGTGCTTACCTTCAGGATGAGCTCCACCACTTCCGTGTGCACCAGCCCGTGCACTGGCTCCCCATTGACGTGGGTGATCAGGTCTCCAGCACACAGGCCTGCCTCATGAGCTGGACCACCTTCCTCCACGTGCTGCCAGGGGAGAAGACGAGAGAGATGCTCTCATGGCTCTGCTGTCCCCTTCTGCCCACAGCACACCCGGCTTTGGCCTTGCAAGGGCCGTTGCCTAAAGCGTTTGCCCCTTTGGGCTCTCTTAGCGTGAGGCAGACAAGGCAGGTAAGGGGCTCTTCCTTCCCCTTGGTGCAGTGTTAATCTTAAAGGTAAAAGGTAAAGGGACCCCTGACCATTAGGTCCAGTCGGGGCCGACTCTGGGGTTGCGGCACTCAACTCACTTTACTGGCCGAGGGAGCCAGCGTACAGCTTCCGGGTCATGTGGGCAGCATGTCTAAGCTGCTTCTGGCGAACCAGAGCAGTGCACGGAAACGCCGTTTACCTTCCCGCCGGAGCGGTACCTATTTATCTACTTGCACTTTGAAGTGCTTTCGAACTGCTAGGTTGGCAGGAGCTGGGACTGAGCAACGGGAGCTCACCCTGTCATGAGGATTCGAACTGCCAACCTTCTGATCGGCAAGTCCTAGGCTCTGTGGTTTAACCCACAGCGCCACCCGCGTCCCAAGTGTTAATCTTATGCCTGCCCAAAGTGCCCTCCGGATTGGCACGCACGCTTACCCAGACAATGTGGTGCACGCTGTAGACATCGCTGTCCCCCATGTAAACCCGGATGGCACGAAGTGTGAAGCCGTACTTCTTCCCCGAGCGCTGGATCGTGATGGGCGAGCGCAGGATGGTGACGGCGGGCGAGTAGTCGCGGGACGGTGAGGAATCGCGGGACGACGGGTTGGAGGAGAGTGACCGGGGGGACATGGGGCTGGCCAAAGGTGAGCTGCTGTGCTGTTCCACTGCGAGGAGGGAGAGGGAGAGAAAAACTAAAGGGGAAGCAAGAAGCCCTCCGCCATTCCGTGGGGCAAGAACACAAGAGCACCTCTTGCCTCCCAGAACAGGAGCCCCGGCCCCCAGCCTCCCCTGCTCTAGGTCCTGCAAACTTGTACTTTCTGGTCTCTGCACCCAGCCTAAGGCCAGCCGCCTGTTCCTTCCAGTCGTTTCCCAAGACCTGTTGGCAGCGAGGGAAAAGTACAGAAGCTGCAACACTTCCAAGGGCGGTTTTGAGCTTGGGAAATGGTACGTCGGGGTAGGTGGGTGTCGAGCAGGCTAGGGCAAAGTGTTCCTGCAGGTCCCAAAGGCAAATGAAGGCTGGTGTGTGCCCTTCTAGCAGGAAAGGGAAAATCAGTGGTGCCTTTCCCTATTCTCTGTGGCCCTCCAGGTGCTATAGGGCTACCGGTTCCCATCATCCCTTACCACTGGCCATGCTGGCTAGGACTGATGGGAGTTGGAACCCAACAGCATCAGAAAGGGCTCCCCACCCCGAGTTTAAGCATACAGCTATAAGACCCCTGCCACAGACAAAGGCCTGCCTGGTGCAATTTCAAGCTGCAGAAGGCTGCGGGCTTTTGGCACAACGTTCAGCTTCCCAAGAACCTCCCATTGCATTTAAATTAAAAGCAAGTTTCCAGCCCTCATGGTGCAATTGACAGTGTGTGGGCAATGCTTGCTTAAATCTTAAGAGGCGTAACTGAATATGATTCCCAGCATTCAGGGCGTCCTCAGTGCCTTGAAAGCTACTTTCTGTCTCTCCATAAACGACAGAAGCAGAACAAACTATGCAAAACTGTAGAAGCTGCAAAATCCAAACCAACAGAGGAAGTTATACATGCAAATATGCTTCATTTGCATAAGTTTGTGCATGGCCCGGAGTTCCATTTTTCTTATGGAAGACCTTTTTTTTTATTATTATTGGCACAAAACGCACACAGCTCAGCAACTATGTTAGAAGTGCCGAAAGGGTGGGTACAGCATGCAGGGTTGATAAGTGAGAGGTTGGGGGCTGTGAGCTGATGAAGGCTGCAGTGAGTGGGGAGTGTTCATTCCTACTGGAACAGCAACAGATGGGTCCTGTCTTCAGGGACTGGACGGTCTTGATCAGGATGCGGCCCGCCGGGACAGGCCAGCCCGATGGAAGAGGAGCGGTTCTGTGCAAGGGCGGGTGGATACAGCATGAAAGACAGGCCAAGATGCTGTCAAGCAGGATGGACGGTTTGTAGTGAGAAGCCCGGTGCCCCTGGGGGCAGGGGGTGGGCTGAGAGCAGGGGGTGGGGTGCCAGGCTCAAAGTGGGATGCCGTTCCTATGGGGTTAGTGCTGTGCCTGCTGGTTATGTGCAGGGGGGCGAGAGGAGGAGGCCCGTACCTGTGGGGATAATGACGGACAGCGCAGTAGCTGAGGCAGATTTGATGACCTTGCCCCCTGTGCGGGAGCTGCGCTTCTCGGCCGTGGCGTCCCCTGAGAGCTGTTGGTGGCGGGCCCGGCGCAGCACCAAGTCATTGGTGGCTTTGGGGGCTGATGGGTCCAGCTCCTTTGGGGGCTGTAGCTCACCCGCTTTTGATTTATTGCCTATTGGGGAGGGGAGAGAGAGGGGTGATGACTCAAGCCCTACATCAGAGGACCACGCGCCAGGGGCCCCCGCCTTCAAACACGGAGCACAGAGCAGAGGGGGCCACAGCAGGGACTGTCCAAACCCCCAGCAACCCGAGAGGATAACAAACACCACGCCCAGAGATTTCGCCTTTCTTCATCACGCAGACGGTGGGCGGAGCACCAAGCAGGGTGACTCTGCCTGCCTAGGCCTTCTCAAGGTGAAGCTGAGGAGATGGGGTTGGGCCCCAGCGGAGCTCGGAGGCCTAGGGCCAAGCCCCAGCGTGCCCACCAAACTCTCACAAATAGTGCAAAAAGGACCTCTTGGTAAGTGCTACTGATGCACACCTGATATTGCAATTGCCAAGCTGCCTGTCCTTAGTTCTGTGGACTGCATAAAGGTGCTGAAGCCATGCAATTCGATGCTTGGGCTGCAAGACTCTGCAAGGAATCATTGCCCTTTCCCTTTTCTTACTAGACATGGCAAACACCTTGGATGCCATGCAGAGGGATGGCTGTGCCCGCCCCCCCCCCCCTGGGCACCTTACCCCCTCCAAGAGCACCAGCTGAGGGCTTGTTAAAATCCCCAAGGGTCAGATAAGGGCTTGTTTTAGTACAGTATGCCAGCAGCAGAGGAACCTTTGGGTCTGATCCTACGCACACCTGGGCTGACAAGGCTCTTGCCATTTTGGGTTTTCTGCAGCCACGCAAGCTCTGACAAACGTGGGGAAAGCCCAGATTCCAATCAAACTTCTTGGCAGATATTGCTAGAATAGAAATAACTGCTGCATTTGCTCTTTTTGGAAATCTCAGGGGTTTGCTAGAGCCTTTGAGAACTTGCAGCAGATGTGTCTGTTCCTGGGGTAGAAACAGGGTAGGCAACCCAAGCACTGAGGGACAGAGAGGGCGGCTTGCTATGTGCAATAATAACAGCAATAATTTCTTATATATATCCCACCCATCTGGCTGGGTTTCCCCAGCCACTTTGCAAGAAGGGAGACAGCTGATGGTGGAATGTGCAGCTTGGTAGGCTTTTACAAAATAACCTGCCCTCAACCGCCACATTTTATTCGTAGGATTGCACACCTGCTAGTAGCGCCAGTCTAGTGCCAGAATCTATTTGGGGGGAAAGAGAGGAGGATGTGCATTGGCTCTGGGTAAGGGGAGTGTGCAACCTCTAAAAAACCAAATTACGAAACAAAAGCATGCCTCTTCCCAAATAAAGTAGTTTGGGAGAAAACAAAAAAATTGAAGAAGCAGAGGGGCAAGGTTGCAGCAAAGGGGCAGTCACCCCCTTTTTTGCTTTTGTTTTAAAAGCACTTCATGGAGCACCTCCCTCCTATGGCACCATGGGGTGGGACTTCAACTCCAACATGTAAACAAAGAAATAAAAGGGTTGCAAAATGACCCTGGCAGAGGCAGGAAGAGAGTTGTGTCACCCATTGCCACAGAGCCATTCCTACCGTGAAGCAACTGTCTCACGCAGCAAATTTTGGGCGGCAGAGTGTCCGACCCATAAGTCACAATCCACCAGGAAATTTTCCTGCGCAAGCCCATTGAAATTACTGGAGGCTGTGCAAGAATGGAATTGGTTGCAAGCGATCGGCTGAAGGGCCTGCACCAAATACTCATTGCCTAGCATACTCCTTATCGCAGTGGATGCGTTATCAGGAGATTTGTGCGGTACTGGTGGGAGGAAGGTTCGAGTTTCTCCAGCAACAAAACCTTGCAACCCGAATGTTGGGAAATTGCAATTTCCTGGCAATTGATAGGAGAACAGACGTTTGGATCCTCTGCAACCGCTGCATTGTACAATGCCTACCGGAAAGGTCCAAAGAGGCTAACTGTACACTTGAGATTTGCCACAGAATCAAGAATCAGGATCAAGTGCTTGGATCTGCCAAGGGGTGATTTAAGGGATCTGGGGTGCACTGCTCTCTGCTCCCTAGGGATGTGTGGTCTCCCTGAGCCAGGCTGCATCTCCTCACCAGAGGCTGGAAGGGAGAGGACTTTGGCTGCACAAAACAGATGTCAAAAGGGAGGCGACGTACCAAGAATCTGTTCAGACTGTAATAGGCACATCTCATGTAAACAGCAAATTGGGCGCCCGACTGTGGCATCTCCCCTTCAGCTGCCAGAGTGAGGGCTTTCAGCCAGAGGCCATTACTCACCTGCCTCAGTCTCTACAGGGGCAGGACTCTGCCCAGCCTCCGCTGCTGCCCCTTCCTTGCTCTCCCTGCCTTCGACCTGGGGCGTGGACCCCGGGGGCCCATTTTCCGCAGGAGCCTTCGCAGGCCCCTTGCCAAGACTCTCGCTGTCGGTTTCCAGGGGCACGGCAAAACGGCTGGTGTCCATCAGGGCCGAAAAGCGCCGCCGTGCACCCAGCGGGGGGCTGGAATCGCTCTCAGTGTAGGACGACTCCGAGGCTGAAAGCCGCTTCCTGAGAGACAGAAAACAAGCAAGATGGCTCACCCCCCCACCCCAAACACCTGAAGCCATGTCCAAAATGCCAGCCAGGGCTTAACTTTTGTCAGGAGGCCTTAGAGCTTATTATTATTATTATTAGTGCTGTAACTGGAGTGCAATCTACTTTAGCTGAAGCCAGGATGGGGAGCCTGTGGCCCTGCAGATGCTTCAGGACTACAGCTCCCATCATCCCTTTCCACTGGCCACACTGGTTGGGGCTGATGGGAGTTGGAGTCCAAGAGTCTCTGGAAGGTTGCAGGTTCCCCAGTTCAGAAGTGCATCTTCAGTGGATTCAGTTGCAATAAGTGAGGAGACATTTTAATTGTTAGGGCTGCAACTTAAGAGCACGGGAGTGGTGGTGGTGGGAAATAAATGCCTAAAGCGTTACATTTTGCACTGAGAGCATTACAGTTGTACCTTGGATCCTGAACACCTTACAAGTCAAACACTTTGGCTCCTGAATGCCACAAACCCGGAAGTGAGTGTTCTGGTTTGCAAACGTTCTTTGGAACCCGAACGTCCGACGCTGGTTCCATGGCTTCTGATTGGCTGCAGGAGCTTCCTTCAGCCAATCGGAAGCCATGCCTTGGTTTCTGAACATTTTTGAAGGCGAATGGACTTCCGGAATGGATTCCGTTCGACTTCCGAGGTACCACTGTACTATAGTAAGGAATGAAAAAGAACTTTAAAAGATTATCTTCCCTCCAAAGAATGAGGAGAAAGCTATTGTTTGTTGAACTTTATGTCATCCTGTACTTTAGTCCGTGCCTCACTTATATTGCACCTACACTGAGGTTTTGGTAATTCAGAAATGCATTTACATTTCAGCTCAGGCGGTAGAGCATGAGACTTATTTTCAGGGTTGTGATTTCGAGCCTCATGTAGGGCAACAGATTCCAGCATTGCAGGGGGGGGTGAACTAGATGTTCCTCGCAGTCCCTTCTCACGCTACAATTCTGTGATTCTGTGAACAGCTGATTAATGTACTAGTTAGACAGACGGCATCCATTTTCTAAGCATCCTGTATTTAGCTGATATTTCTAGTTTTCTCTGCTAAGTCCGCAGGGCATATGGAAAAGCGCAAGACTAACAGCAGCTAGCATCTGCCAGGGACCAGAGGTTGGGACCAGAGCCCTGGAATATCCAGGAAACCCTGAAGCCCACATTTGCCTCTCAGAGCTGGAGTGAGAGCTCCTCTTCCAAGTGCCCTCAGCCTCCTCCAGGTCTGGGGGCTGAAGAACAAAAGCCACAGCTGTTATTGCACAGGGTGGAGACTCACATTTCAGGGGAGTTGGTGCGCCAGCTTTTCTCTCGAAGGGTGAAGCTACCCAGACTCTCCCTTTTGCTGAGCTTCTCATCTTTGTGTTTGTTGCTCTGGTCCCTCTTGGTGACACCTGGAGTCTTCTGCTCATGCTGGGAGAGGTGCTCCATGCTGCTGTACACCTGTATTGAGGGGGGCAGGCGGCATAGGCCAGAAGGGTGAGAAATGGTACAGCAACGTGCTATAAGGAGCAGCTTTATTGCTTATGTAGTTATTTTTAATTTTTAATTTATTTAACATAATTGTTACAAAATATAAGCAAAATATTGCAAATACATACATATATTTTTCAAATAAGCACATGTATACGAAAAAAGGAAGAAACAGGAAAAAAGAAAAGAAAAAATAAAGAGAAAAGAAGAAGAAGAAAAGCTGGAAGAATTTCTTCCAAGTTTATTCTACAAATATCTCAATATGAAAATAATAATAAAATTTCATTGATTGACTTCCATTGCTTACACTGCACTTCCTATATACAGTTTAAGCAAGATTGTATCTGTTGGTCCGTATTTTTCCCATACAATCTCACACGAATATTCTAATCAATAAGTTTTCTAAATCTTTCATAAATCTATTCTAAACACAACCAATACCTTACATTTAATCCTTGTCTACATAAATAAATATGTATTTATTTTCCTTATTTATAGACTGTTTTTCACTACAGATGGCTGCAAAACAGTTGACCCAACCATCCACAAAACAATCCATCAATCATTCATGCAGTACTAAAACCACAGGTGAAAACGTAATTAGATTAAACGTAATTCGATTAATTAGGCAATAAACTTGCCCCTGAGGACACACACTCAGAAGCATGTTGTGTGGAGGATATAACAACAAAAACAAAACACAGCAGCCAGAGCCTTCTAAGACATTCTTTGGTGTTTGTTAGGGAAAATTTGAAAAGTATCTCAGCCACCAAGAATTAACCCATAGCATTGCTGTGCTCTTAAACCTCCCCAAATCTTTCAGATCTCCACAGAAAATCCCCCACTGCCCACAAGGTGATTTCAAGTACAGTGGTACCTCAGGTTACAAACACCTCAGGTTACAGACTCCGCTAACCCAGAAGTAGTACATTGGGTTAAGAACTTTACCTCAGGATGAGAAGAGAAATCGCATGGCAGCAGTGCGGGAGGCCGCATTAGCAAAAGTGGTACCTCTGGTTAAGAACAGTTTCAGGTTAAGAACGGACCTCCAGAACGAATTAAGTTCGTAACCAGAGGTACCACTGCATATGTTTTCCATGAGTGAGGGTTACTGTTGGTTTCAGATCCTATACCAGGGGTGCTGGGAACAGTCTTAGAAAGGTCTGAGTGTGCAGATCTGGCCCATGCGGGAGACTTCAAGCATCCCTTCTTCCTGCCAATCTTCACCTGAAAATACCCAGCCACTTAACCACACCCACCCATACATTAGCTCAACAAACACACGACTTAGAATAGAATCATAGAATCATAGAGTTGGAATAGACCACAAGGGCCATCGAGTCCAACCCCCTGCCAAGCACTCCATCAAACACCATCAGAGCACTCCTGACATATGGTTGACTTGGAAACCATAGTTCTGAACACTTAAGTGAACAAGTTTGCATAGGGTTGTGCTGCTGCTGACAATCTCCTATTGTATTGCTCCCCTATAGAGATGCGCTACGAAGATAGCCAATACATTTATTGGCTACCCATCCCCAACATACGCCATTCAAACCCTGACTCCTCATTGCACTGTGCTCCCAAACACATTTTGCTAATGTGTTTGGCTGATGGTAAGGAGAAGAATGAAGAAGACAACAGCAGCATTTCATAGAGCAATTAAAAGTATTTATAGCATTTCACATACATTATCTTAGTAATCCTTACAGCAACCCTGCCAAGTAGGCCAGTAACAATATCCTCGTTTATTTGCAGAAAGAAAGAGAGGCGACAGAGATGGAAGTGGCTAGGGACACTTGTGAGGCTGAGGTGAGATTTAAACTCTGGGCTTCTGAGCGCACACTCTATAACCACAGCACCAGTGTTAAACAACAACAACAACAATTTGAATTAAATGCAGTCAGTGAGGACTCTCACCTTGCTGAACCGGGGAGAGCAAGATGAAAACTGCCTTATTTCCACAGGTTCATCTTCAGTCGTGTCATCTTCATCATATGAGTTAATGTGGTGGTAACGATCGGAGCGAGCTGGAAAGAGGAAAACTGTCTCATGGGAGCTGTGGGAGACCTGGGCAGCAGGATTGCTGTTGAGCTGCCCACATTCCCTCTAAGCCTGGCCCCAAATGGCTAGAGAAAGAAAAACATCACAGAGGCAGCTTCATTCCTGCACCCAAGTGGAACATCTCACCCTGAGCAGGAAGGAAGCTTGGCAAAACAGAAACAAAACTCCACCAGGACAAGCAGCCTCTCCTCCCTTTGCACCCCCCCACCCCAAAGATGAGCAGCATACCCATGTATTTAAAAACAAATGAGGACCCTAGAATGTCCCCGTCATCTCCCAGAATTACGCTGCCATTGTCACATAAGAGCGGATGGGGAATCTTTTTCAACCTGAGGATCGGATCCAAAATTGGCCCACCTTCCATGGACCATTTTTGACAGGTTGGGTGGGGAGGTCACCTACCTGTCAATCACCTTCAGTTGTATGGCATGGATGATAAAGATTTCAAGCCCAGAACAGGCAGAGGCTTATCTCTGATCTTGGCCATGTGAACCAAACTAGGCAGGACATCAGATGCACCTTAGCATTTAGCGCATTATGTTTTAAGCATTTGTTTGTCAGGGGCTGAGCAGAGGAGGAATGGTGGAGACCACCTCCCCAGCCTGAGCCTTCCAGGGAGGACGAAGAGGAAGACAGTATAGATTGACAACAGGGGTTTGAGGGAGGTCACAGCTCAGAGGCAGATGAGGAGGGAAAGTTGGGAAATAATGGGAGAGGAGGAGACAGGACTGCAATGGCAGCTGGCTGACACGGTGTCTTTAGAGAGCATTCCAGACTCCCCATCTCCCAGAACCCGGTGAGCCTTTAAAGTAGGAGAGCTAAGAGCTCAAAGACCCATAGCAGGACCCGTAGAGGAGACGATGAGAATGACGAATGAGGAAGTGGGAGAGATGGGGGTTGGAGATTAACTCAGGACAACACCATTATCCAAGAGGCTGGGTTCTATAGCCTCTCTCTGGAATATTGAAATAAAAAAGGAAGGTAAGAAACTTTTCCTTGTCTTTATACTTTCCTGGGCAGCCAGCTGGGAGCTGCTGACAGCATCCTGACAGTGTTTGACATTTGTCAAGTATTGTATTTTTTAAAAAATACAATAGCAGCTGCAGCAGTGTGACTCTTTCACTGGAACACTGCCTCCTATGGAGGCAACCACTGGTTCATAATGTTCCACACTGCCTACACTGACTGACAGCAGTTCTCCCAGGGTTCCAGGCAGGGGTCTCTCCTAGTCCCAGCTGAAAGTGCCAGAGACTGAATTTAGGAGCTTCTGCTTGCAGTCATTACTCTGCCACTGAGCTATGGCCCTTTTCTCCCCTGTGGTAGCCCTGGTGAAAATTATTCCCCTGAAGCTGATATTTGCAATGGAAATCCCCCACTGACACCTCTCTGGTATGAAAGAAGGAAGGAGAAGACCCTTATTAACATGAGCAATCTGGGATTAGGTGTTTCTGGATAGTGGGAAGTGGTGCAGGCCAGCAGCCTCGCTCTTGTTTGTTAAAGGAAAACATTTGGGAGCAGGGAAAGAAAAAGAAAGCAGAATGTTAACACTTGCTGTCAAAGTAGCTGGTGTCTTCCTCAGACTCCAGGTGAGGGATGAATTCTGCTTTCTGCCTCAGAAGCCCGTTCCAGTCCAGATCTTTGAAAAATGCATGCTGTTTCACTTCGTAGGCGCCACCTGCAAAATGCAAAGTCCAAAGTATTGCTGCCCTCTGCTGGACAACACCGCCAATCAAACTGGACATGGTAAGAGGTGCTCTTTCCTAGAAACATGTGATTCTGCTGCCAGGTGGCCGGGGGTGGGGGTGGGCTACTTCCTGAGCACTTAGGAAATGTTGACACAGACCCACCAAGGCCACAGCTGGTCAACAATTTGGTGTCCTAGGTTGCAACACCCCGAAAGAGGATCTAGAGATCTGGGGGCAGGATTATTCCTCCCCTCCTTCTGGACTGGATCACACACTGAAGTCCCACCTAACTAACTGCCCTGCACCCTGACCAACTGTCCTTACCTGCCCCCAGGCGGAGAAGAGGGTTGGTCTGCAGGAGACAGGAGATGAGATCTTGAGCATCTGCTGGGAGGGCCTCCTCCCCTTCCGGCCACAAGATGTCATCTGAAAGCAGAAAGAAACAGAGAAGTTCTTGGTGGATGAGGCAGCTGATGGGGTGGATTAGGGAGGGTTAGAATGGTCTCCTCAATGTGTAGATTATTGTAACAGGTTTAATTGCTACTGGGAAATTCGTATGCCAAGCATCTTTCTAACATGGAAAGCAGCTCACAGAGCCTCTGAACCCAAAGCTCCACCTTATTGCTTCACTCTGTTTCAGGATACCCTCCTAAGGTTTTTCTCCCCACCAACTCAAACAGCACCCTCCATTCTCCTTGGTTGAGCAGGAGCAACTTAGCCAAGCCTGGAGGAAATTCCAAGGCCAGCAAGTAACAATGTTGAGCTCATAGCTGGATCACAGTGACCCAAACACACCTGCCCTTCACTTACCAGTGATGACCTGACCAAAGAGCTCCTCAGGGGTGTCTCCAAAGAATGGCACACAGCCCACCAGGAACTCGTACAGGATGATGCCCATAGCCCACCAGTCCACTGGCTTCCCATAGCCTTGGCGAAGGATCACTTCGGGAGCAATGTATTCAGGGGTTCCACACACCTGCCAAGACACCAACCATCCTTCAGTTAGCAGCACAGAGATTGGATGAAATCCTGGTAATGGCTGGAAAAATCCATATGTATGGCAGCCCTACATGTTAGCTGAGGCAACTGAGAAGGGGGTGATCTGCATTCCTATCAGAGTTCTGGGCTGGGTGGAAAGGTTTCAGACCTCTCTATCCATCCCCGAGCTGGGTATATAATTTTTGTTTTGACCACCACCACCACCTGCGGGGTCTTGGGGGTCAGAAAAGCTTCCTGCCAGGCCCCTGGGATGGAGGTTAGACACCCTAAGTCTACAGCTTCCCCCTCACATACACAATAACAATTTGTCATGTCCTGCCTCGTGTCTTCCTTCTAAAATACCAGAAGGCCTTGTTTGGTAAGAAAGGCTTTGTTCTGCTGACTGACAAGTTCTGATTTAAAGTCCATGCTGGGGCTTAAAAACAAGTCAACCAGGTGAGAGCTTCCAGGGGTTTTTGTACTCTCTTATCTCATACCTCCCTAAATATTTACCAAGTGGTCTGGCGGCAGTGAAAACCCCCATAGCCAATGACTAACTGAGATTAATGTCCTCTTACTTCTGTCGTTTGTATGTAAACACAATCTGAGAGGAGCAGGAAGAACTCCCCTGGATCAGCCTTGATCTGCATCACAGGGCAGTGTGCCAATTTCAATGGCACGTTTCAAATTCTGCCCCCTCACCCACCCGCAACCATAGCTGTCAACCTTCCCTTTTTTTGCGGGAAATTCCCTTATTCCAGCGCCGTTTCCTGCTGCTATCCTGGATTGTTAGATATCCCGTAGACTGTCCCCAGGACAGATGAGGCTGCCGATCCCTTATTTTCAAACCTGAAAGTTGACAGCTATGCCCACAATGCTCCCCTCTCATGCACACCATTAGGGTGCCCACCTGTTTGTCCAGGAACTCCCGGGCATCCTTCTCAATGTGACCCTCGTACAAGTTGGTGGTGAGGCTCATCAGCCCCATCTTGGAGAGACCAAAGTCTGTCAACTTGATGTGCCCCATGGAAGTGATCAGCAGGCTGAGGAGAAAGCCGGAGAAGAAACCGTCAAGAGAGCTCAGATCACAGAAACACCTTGCCCCCCCCGCCCCCCACTTTTTGGCAAAGGAACCCAGGGAGTGTCAACAAAGCTCTTCTCCGGCAAGATAGCCCAGGAGAGGCTCTGTCTCTCCGCTTCATACTTGTCAGGCTTTAGGTCACGGTGGACGATGCCATAGTTGTGCAGGTACTCCAGCGCAAGGACGGTCTCGGCAAAGTACATGCGGGCCATCTCCACGGGCAGTGCCCCTATGTTCTTCAACAGTGTGGCACAGTCCCCGCCTGCTGGGAAAAGGGCCAAGTGGTTAGGGAGGCAGCTAGCAGGCCACTCTCTTCGTACAGTGCAGGACTACCGCTCTGTTCCTGCCCTTGATCGGAGCTTGCAGTCCTCCAGTGTCTTGCCATTTGGAATGCTAAGAAGCACAGTCTGTAGGAGGGCAGGTACAAGGCTTGGCTCCCTGTGCCCTACATTCATGCTGTATTTAATATTAAAAGACCTAGGTGATCTTTCGACTTGAGAGTGGTTTAAAGACAGGTGTTTCCAATCTTGCTTGCTGAAAAAGCTAACAGGATGCTGGAAGCCCCTGCCAAGCACACAGGGACTCTGCCATCTCCTAAAATCCAAGCTTGCTTTGAAGCCAGAGACACAGTTGAATAAAAGAGATTTTTTTGAATAAAAGAGTGTTTGTGGGGGGGGAGGGGAGGCTCGGTTAATTTCATTGTACACAGGTTGTACATTGACAATAAAGGTATCATCATCATCATCATCATCATCATCATCATCATAGGGCTTCCAGTAACATCACTGTCCTGACTAAAAGTAATGAAACCACTGGTTGAGGAGCTTGGGTGCTAATGAATTGAGAAGGATAAGATCAGTTTGGATGGCCAGGAAAGATGCTTCCTCAACTTCTGAGCTATGTTTTTAATTTAATAGATAAATTAATAAATAATAATAATAATAATAATAATAATAATAATAATAATAATAATAATAATAATAATATAATAATAATAATATAATAATAATAATAACTGGATATTATTTGTACAACAAAGGATGTGCATGTTTGCTCAAGGGTATTTGATAACCACTGCTGCTCTCAGAATGGGTTGTTTCCTGCAAGCTCACACATGGGATTTAATTTTCATATGTAACCTGAGAGCTGACTTGTGTGATACTGAGAGACCAGGGGGTATCTGAGTCCCTTTAGGAGTTCTGAGGCCGTGTACCTTCGACATATTCCATGACCATGCAGAGGTAGCGCTTGGTCTCAAAAGAGCAGAACATGCTGACCACAAAGGGGTTTTCTGCAAAAGTCAAAATGTCGCGCTCCACAAAGGCCTGCTGGATCTGGTTGCGCAGGATGAGGTTTTGCTTGTTGATCTTCTTCATGGCAAAGCGCTGCCGGGTCTCTTTGTGCCGCACCAGATACACAGCTCTGTGAGAGGAGGAGGCGGAGAAAGCAGAGGGGATGTGCTCAGCGAGAGGCAGCCCCAACCCACAAAGCACTTCTCCAAGAACACAGCAGAGAATGTAGGTGTGTTGAGGGATCTTGATCCTCGCTCTATAAATACTAGACTCTTTCCCCTCTTTAAACAATGGGCTGGTAAACTAGCTTTTACCCAGAGCTTTTGGGAGGGGGCAGTGAGGCTTAAAGGTAAAGGTAAAGGGACCCCTGACCATTAGGTCCAGTCGTGGCCGACTCTGGGGTTGTGGCGCTCATCTCGCTTTATTGGCCGAGGGAGCCAGCATTTGTCCGCAGACAGCTTCCGGGTCATGTGGCCAGCATGACTAAGAGCAGCGCATGGAAACGCCGTTTACCTTCCCGCCGGAGCGGTACCTATTTATCTACTTGCACTTTGACGTGCTTTCGAACTGCTAGGTTGGCAGGAGCTGGGACCGAGCAACGGGAGCTCACCCCGTCGCAGGGATTCGAACCGCCGGCCTTCTGATCAGCAAGTCCTAGGCTCTGTGGTTTAACCCACAGCGCCACCCGCGTCCCTTGTCCGCTCATATGTCCACTGCATCAACATTACAAATCGTTGCAGACCCTTAAGGTGGCAAAAGATCTTGGGCCATCCTTGGGTGGAAAGCTGTCTGAGGATTGCGACCTGAAGAACACCCCACATCGCCCTGCCTTCTCTTTGACGCCTTCTTCAGAACCCTCCCTCCAGGTGCCTCTGCTGTTTCAGTGTGAGGCAAGTAGCAAGACGAAACAGGGCCTTCTTGGTAGTATCCCACAATTGACATCATATGTGGCAGCTGTTTTAGGCAAATATGGATGTCCCTTAAATGGGGCTCCCTGCTGTTCCTATACAAGTACGGTTCCCTGTCAGCATCAATACACTGACAGAGAGCCTGGCTAGGATGGGCTGCTGAGGGGGATGGAGGAAGCAGTTTGCATTAAAAAATGCTGGAGCAAGTGTAAATGCAAACTGCTTCCTTTGAGGAGAGAAAAATGCTCCACTTTCTCTCCAGAGGAAGCAGTTTAGATGAAAGCATTCCCTCTACAAATAGGAAAATGCTGTTTAAAAATTTGAGTATTTTGAATTCAAAATACAGCGCTCTGAATCCACATTGCTTTCAATTCAGAGAGGGAGAAATGCTCAGTTCAATGATGTAGCATCTTCTCTCTCTCCAGAGCAAGCCTGTTGGAAGGTTTCCTTGGAACTCTGACCTGTGTAAAGTCATTATGATGCCAGGTGATGGACAGGTGGGTTGTCCCACGCATCTGCCAAATTTGGTGTGTGTGTGTGTGTGTGTGTGTGTGTAATTTGGGAATCTGGCCCACTGAACAGATCCAGTTCCCTACACCATCTTACTATGACGGGAATTCACCGTTATTATTCTCCTTTCCATGTGGTTGAAAAACCCTTATAATTCTTCTTTTCCCCCAAGGGATGTCTCCTGAACTTCCAAGCCTGGTTCAGATGCTTCTCTATATCAGAGATCTTGTACCCCTCTACCATGATGCTCATAAAGAAACATGGGACATGGGTTCCCCAACATGGATCGTCGTACCATAACGGTGCGATACTTTCAACTCAAACCAGCTGAAACAGCTTACTCCTCCACTTTCGGAACAGCACCTTTGGACCAGGTAAGCATTTGAACCAGGCCTGATTTGGTGCTGAAGGAGCCAGCCAGAAGCAAGGGAGACCCTTCCATGCAGGCAGATCCAAGGAGCTTGGGATCTGAGTCAGCTCACTCACCCATATGCCCCGTTGCTTATGAGTTTAATTGTTCCAAAGTCTCCTTCTCCCGGTGGCTTCTTTGGCTTTGGAGTAGTTCCACGACTCTGTAATGGTAAGTAAATTGGGTGTGAGGGCATAAGAAGCTCCTATGAAATCCAGCCACGCTAACTGAAGACAACCCTATTGGGGACCCCTTCTTTACCAAGGTTAGGAGCAGTGCCGTACGGCGAATTATTATTTTTGGTATGGGAACAGTTAGGGCCAGAGGCGCCAACTTGCAAGGGCAGCTGGGGGGGGGGCATTGCGAGTGTGACATCGCTATGTTGTGACGTTGTGTGCTGAGCATTATGCCTCCTTCCGAAAGCTGGGTGGACTTTGGGAAGGTGGTAGAAGGGCTCTCGGACCCAGTTGGAGCATCACACCTCCCTCTCTAAGCCAGGGAGAAGCTTCCCAAGTTTTGGGAAGGAGGCACCAGTCTTTAATACAATTGATACTCTAATTTACCCGGAACATTTAGGGAACTAGCCTAGTCCACTGACCACACGCCACTGGTTAGGAGTGCAGTTGTGTATGGAATATGACAGATTGTGAACGCAGTCAACACTGGTACCAGAAAATTGGTAGAGAGCCACTCTGAAACTGAAATAGCCCATTTAGTTTCATTTATAGATGTAGAAGATAGAAAAAAACCAGAGCCAAAAGCACAAACGTAAGATGGGGCAATCCCTGGCTATGCAACGGCACTATGGATTTAATGATGAACCTTGCGGGCAGAGCTACCCACTGACTCAGTTGCCTAATAATAAGGAGTTATTCTGGTGGAGTGTCTTCTGTTATTCAAGAAGCCACCCCCTCAAGCCTGGGTCACACAAATGAAAGGTTAGTCAGTAAGAGCAAGAAGGACAAGAGATTCCACATGTTTTCAGTTCCTTTTTGTAATCACAACAGATTTATTTTCATTCCTATCTATCTCAGATCAACTGGGCAGGGAGCTAAGAGGGAACCATGTTGGGCTCTTTTTCCACCTGGCATGAAGGAGGTGGAAGGCTGCTAGATCTCTCTCCCTCTTCTCTATCCCCACCCTTTATCTTTCCTAAATAAATAATTTTATTTCCTATTAAAAAAAGGAGTCTGCATAGCAATTTTTTGGGGGTGCATGCGATCACATTCTATTTTCCTCTTAATAAATGTGCCCTGTTCTAACAATCTTTGTGACGCAAAACCTAGAAAGCGATCTCTCCTGCCAGGGGCGCTGACTTGCCCCCTCCCCCCACTGCGGGTACGCAATGTTGGTGCACACTGAGTTGCAGCATAATGACGTGGTGATGTGATCATGTCATGTCGTGTCATCACGATGGAGCAGCTCCAGCACTGCGGGAGTGACTGGAACAGGGCCCGCGTGTGCCATGGCTGCATTGGGAGATGCACAGAGGCAGGCGGCAGAGGCCAGGCACCAAGAGCAAAAATTTTGTGGGTGCCTGGGCCCCTGGGGCCTGCTGGAGATGGCGCCAGTGTCCCCTGCAACTGGGTTCATTCTACTGAATGGAATATTTATTCTTCCACAAGAAGGGCTGCTTCTGGGTCCCCCACTCTGTTGAGCTTTAACTGAGGTCAACCACAGTTTAGGAAGGAGTTGTGCTTGTCACCTTCCTGCCCAACCAGACTGGTCACCATGCTAGATGGCTAAGGTGCCCCAATGGGAGGATGAGAAGCTGCTGCAGGCACCACACCAGTGCTTTCTCTGATTCTCAGACCAAGGCAGGCTCTTTCCCAGCAGTGGGGCTTCCTGCCTTTCCAGCTGTTTGAGAGAGCTCCATAGCTTCTATGACTCTCTCTCTCTCTCTCTCTCTCTCTCTCTCTCTCTCTCTCTCACACACACACACACACACACACACTCCTTCTCTCTCTCTCTCTCTCTCACACACACACACACACACTCTCTCTCACTCTCTCTCTCTCTCTCTCACACACACACACACATACACACACACACACACACACACACACACACACACACAGTACTTCTCTTCCTGAGACCTGAGTGGCTAGTCATATATTCCACTGCATACCGCTTCTTTTGATAGACAGTGGAGGAAGTTGGGTATGCTTAGACTGGAAAAGAGGAGACTGAGAGGAGATATGATAGCAATCCTCAAATATCTCAAGGGCTGTCACATGGAAGATGGCGGGGGGGGGGTAGTTTTCTCCTGCTCTGGAGGACAGGACTCGAACCAATGGCTTCAAGTTACAAGAAAGGAGAGACTGACAAAACACCATGGCCATTTTGCCAGGGATGCTCTAGTTGAGATTCCTGCATTGCTGGGGGTTGGACTAGGTGACCCCATCCAACTCTACAATTCTAAGATTTTCTGTTTACCAGCATGTTTGTTTTGGCTACCCCACATCACATCATGTGCTCTTTTCCCAAATAAAAATGCAGCACACACTCTGAGAAGAATGGATGAATGAAGGCAGGAGAGCCAACACCTCAGTTTCCTACGTCTGTGGCAAACAACGATGTCATGCTTCTGTAGGCTTCGGTGCTGCAGTTCTATACTTATTTCTACTTTAGCATCTATTTCACAACGGATCAAAGAACCAAATGTAAAACACACCATTCAAATTCAATGAACCAACACATAACACCAGTGGTGGAAAACCCAAACCCTCTACTAATTTAACCCCCGCAGCCCAAATAGCACCCAATGAATCTTAGCCGTATGTCTGAGACACTTCCGTGCTCAAGATTTGGGGGATCTTCAAGAGGGAAGAGAAGACGGATTTCCTTAAGTGTGGGGCAAGCACTAAGAACGCCTTCCTATGCCCGCTTTGCTGTCAAAATGAGAGACATGAATGTCATCCCTGTCCCCCTGACAGACTCTGATGATAATAAGAAGAGTTTGGATTTGATATCCCGCTTTATCACTACCCGAAGGAGTCTCAAAGCGGCTAACATTCTCCCTTCCCTTCCTCCCCCACAACAAACACTCTGTGAGATGAGTGGGGCTGAGAGACTTCAGAGAAGTGTGACTAGCCCAAGGTCACCCAGCAGCTGCATGTGGAGGAGCGGAGATGCGAACCCGGTTCACCAGATTACGAGTCTACCGCTCTTAACCACTACACCACACTGGGTAAGGCAGAGAGGGGGGTAGATAAAGCAGTTCCTAGGCTTAAACCCAGCAGGACTTAGGACCACCTCACAGTGTATATTTTAAGAAGCTCATTTTCCTTCCCTGTACTTTCTACCTGCTTCCCTTCCCGGCATTCTCACACAAGCCTCCTCTCTTCCATTTGCCCACTATGCTCCTTGTCAATCACCCATGCCTTCTCTTTTCCTCTCACCCACTAATCACATTCCTCCTAAGCCTTCTTCTTGGCTGCTTCCAACACCATCTGGGCTTCTTTTCCCTCCCACTTCATCCACACATATTCTGTGCCTCTCCTCCACTTGTCTCCCAGATCTCCCATGTGAACCTTCCTTCTCTTCCCTCCTCATATGCCTGCCTGGACTTCTCTTTCGTAAGAGTGGAGGAGGCAAATGGGAACTTCATGCATTTTCTCCAACTTCTATGAGATGGGTTCTCATCCCCCACCCATTGGGGCTTCCCCTCCCCAATTTATCTGCCTCTTTCCCGTTTCTTGCACATCTGCGATGCTACTACTGTGCGTGGCTGCCACAGATACACAGTCAAACCTCGGTTGTCGAACGTAATGTGTTCTGGAAGCCTGTTCGGCTTCCAAAATGGTTCAACAACTGAGGCGTGGCTTCTAATTGGTTGCATGAGCTTCCGAAAAACATTCAAAACCCAGAGCATTTACTTCCTGGTTTTCAGCGTTTGGGAGCCGAGGTTTGACTGTATTGCTGGTCCAAAACGAGTGTGCAGCAAATCCAGGAACTGCACCCTATCATCCTCTGCTGTTTCGCAAGGTGTTGGGGAGTGCACTTGTGCAATGGCACGTAGCTTCATGGGCACCCCTAGAATTGCTGCTTGGGTCGCCATCCTTGGCGTTGCTGATACCTCTACCCAAGTCAGGGTGCAAGGAAGTCAGCTGCTTCCATAACTCCCAGGGAGTCATCTAACAGGTGAAATTCATAACTCGAGCTGCAAGTTTTAAGCCGTCAACTAAAGCTTGGGTTGATTATCAGGTGGGGCTCCAAGCACATTGATTTCACTGTTCAGGTCCCAGCGCATGGTAATGTTTTTTTTTTTAAAAAATAAATAAATTAAAGGTGGCCTTTTGGCCTTTTGTTTTTGACAGTGATAATAATAATAATAATAATAATAATAATAGTAATAATAATAATATATTTATTTATACCCCGTCCATCTGGCTGGGTTTCCCCAGCCACTCTGGGCAACTCCCAACGGAACATTAAAAACACGGTAAAAGATCAAACATTAAAGCGAGATGATGAGTCTGTTTATTATGTTTATGCCCCAGTCCCTGTTCCAAAGTTCTATGAGCCCAGAAGGGCTTTGGATTTGGGGTGGGGAGAACAGCTATGGGAATAGAGAGGAAGTGTCACTCTGCCACTGACAAATTCTGACCTGCCAAAAAGTTATCCATTGGGAAACCTACTTTGGAGTTTCATTGGACATTTCCCCTGAAATTGCAAATATCAATGGAGTGGCCATTAACTGTTAATAACTCATTCTCGAATTACCCCCCCCTTAAAAATCAAATCCCCCCCCCCGGGCAATGTGTTCATGTTGGGAACCACAGCTTTGGCCTGATTTCTAGCTGCTGCCAGTAGAGACCGAACGCCCAATGATAAATGGAGGGCTTTAGTTGCATGAACCCAAGTGAGTAGCCAGATTTCCTTTAGTTTGTTTTCCTGCACAACAGCCCACCAAATGGGATGGCTGCCTGAAGTCAAGTAGGTACCGGAGCTTTGCTTTTCCCTCTTTCCCCAGGATCAAGCTTGCGATGTGGATGTAGTGGCAGAAACATTGAGCAGCGGTATGGAGAGAGAGAGAGAGAGTGACACAGAGAGAGAGAGAGAGACAAAGAGAGACAGAGAGAGAGTTGTGTCTATGTGTGAAGAGTTGGGATAGACAGCACAGAGCTGGGGTGCGGCTGGTGCCCCCTGTGTACTGACCTCTGTGAACTCCTCTGTCTCAGGTGTGTTCGATCCTCCGCTATCATGCTCCTCCACATACAGCACATCTGACGAGAACAGGGTTTGGAAAGAGCCAAAGGGAGAGCCAAGGGAACAAGGCTTTAGCAACCCCATTGTCATTCATGAAAGCACAGAAAGGGCGAAACCTAGACATGTGCATACAGCCATGCATATACGCCAATGCACATGCCTTGTGGTACGTACATGCACACACGGCGGCATGCTAATGCGTGGGGGTATGTGTGTGATGGAGAGATACACGTGTCAAGGCGACAAATCAGGAGAAGGAAGCATGCGCTCGCTAAGACAAATCACAGGCAAATATGCTTGCATGCACCTTAGCACACACCTTGGGAACAGATACACAAACACCTGCGGGTATGCGGGTTCGCATATACTTACATTCACACTGGAATAGAACGTCAGCTGTGCTACCCTGCTCACACAAATGCATTCCCATGCCCATTTAACACAGATACAGATAGTTTATGCCAAATTGCAATCCCTCCGTCATCTGGTGCCTTGGAGACCACTCGACTCTCCAATGTCGGCACGTGAACTTGGTTTGGCTTACCTGGGTGTCAGCACTTTGACACCACACAGACTCACCTTGAGCAACTACCAACCCTGTCCCTGGGTCAAACAACTGGGAACAGGTCTGTACAACTTTACCCCATGGGGATGAAGCAGCGTAAGGTAAAGGTAAAGGGACCCCTGACCATTAGGTCCAGTCGTGGCCAACTCTGGGGTTGTGGCGCTCATCTCGCTTTACTGGCCGAGGGAGCCAGCGTACAGCTTCCGGGTTATGTGGCCAGCATGACTAAGCCGCTTCTGGCGAACCAGAGCAGCGCACGGAAACGCCATTTACCTTCCCACTGGAGCGGTACCTATTTATCTACTTCCACTTTGACGTGCTTTCGAACTGCTAGGTTGGCAGGAGCAGGGACCGAGAAACAGGAGCTCACCCCATTGCGGGGATTCGAACTGCCAGCCTTCTGATTGGCAAGTCCTAGGCTCTGTGGTTTAACCCACAGCGCCACCCACGTCCCTTAAGAAGAGCCAAATGTGACTGGGAAACCAGCCTGAGAGGAAAGCATTAAACATGCCCTTGGCGTGCACCGCTCAGACAGCCAGTGTAGCATAATGGCTAGACTAGAACATGGGAGACCAGGATTCATATCGCCACTCAGCCATGAAGCTCACTAGGTGACCTGGGGCCAGTCACGGTCTTTCAGCCTAACCTACCTCACAGAGTTCTTGTGAGGATAAAATGGAAGGGGGTGGGGAGAAGGGAGGTGTGTACCACCTTCAGCTCCTTGGAGAAGAGGAGGGATATAAATATAACAGACAGACAGAAAGGCAGACAGATAGATTTTGAGTCCTGGAGACTATAGCAAAAGTGTTAGGTTGGGGTTTTTTTCATTAGAAGAAATTCCACATGTATATAACTACATTTTGCCCCTCAGTTCGCACAGATAAACCAAGAAGCACACCTTGAACGACCATTGAAATCTGCCATATAAGATTAGGGCATCAAACGTTAGCTGGTTCAGCCCAATTTAAGATTTCAAAATCAAGACGTTTATTGATGGAGGTAAAGGGTAAAAGGTAAAGGACCCCTGGACAGTTAAGTCCACTCAAAGGTTACTATGGAGTGTGGCATCAATCTTGCTTTTCAGGCCTAGGGAGCCTGTGTTTATCCACAGACAGCTTTCCGGGTCATGTGGCCAGCAGGTCTAAACCACTTCTGGTGCAACGGAACACCGTGACGGAAGCCAGAGTGCACGGAAACGCCCTTTACCTTCCTGCCACAGCTGTACCTATTTATCTACTTGCACTGGCGTGCTTTTGAACTGCTAGGTTGGCAGGAGCTGGGACAAAGCGGGGGCTCACCCCATTGCAGGGATTCGAACTGCTGACCTTCTGATCAGCAAGCCCAAGAGACTCAGTGGTTCAGACCACCTTGAGACCAAAGCAAGCACACTTTCTATCCTGACAACTTAATAAATAAGATACCAGGGCAGTGAACAGTATTTCAAAAAATGTTCATACAAAGACATCCTTTCAGTCATAATGTGTCCGTTCAGTCACACATATGTGGTCTTTCCCCCCAGGTGTCATGTATCTGTGATACACGATCATATGAACAAATAAATGGCTGCTAATGTGTGTGTGAACTAGGTCCAGATTTACACAGCAAGGGTCAATACTAGGGATCTCTTAGTGGCAAAGGCTTCACTGATCTGTATTAATCAGGGAACCAAAGAATGTATCTTATCATCATCTGAAGTGTCTTTCTATATCAGACTGAAGTCCATCTAGTCCTGTGTTCTCCACAAAAATCCCAGCAGTAAGCTAAGGAATTGTCCAATGGGACACGGTCTATCCATGATCTATCCTTTCTTAGGGGATGCTCTGTCCCCAAGGAATCCTGGATGAGTTTCAACTCTTTTTAAGATACTGGAAATATGTCAAGGCTAGAAGCTGTCCTGACACCCACTCCCATCAGTGACATCACACCCTCGGTGTGTTTTTCTGTCCTGCTTAACAAGTAATATAATAATAATAATAATTTATTATTTATACCCTGCCCATTTGGCTGGGTCTCCCCAGCCACTCTGGGCGGCTTCCAACCGAATATTAAAAACAATACAGCGGCAGACATTAAAAACTTCCCTAAAGAGGGCCGCCTTCAGTTGTCTTTTAAAAGTAAAATCGTTGTTTATTGCCTTGACATCTGATAGGAGGGGGTTCCACAGGGCAGGCGCCACTACCAAGAAGGCCCTCTGCCCAGTTCCCTGTAACCTCACTTCTTGCAGCGAGGAAACTACCAGAAGGCCCTCAGTGCTGGACCTCAGCTGGATGGTGGGGGTGGAGACGCTCCTTCAGGTAGACTACCCTAAACAATAAACCTGCACATGAAGAGGTTACCCTGAACACCGTAGAGGAAACGTGATTGGCCCACGCATGAAGAATCCTCACGAGGGGGAAGGGGGACAGAACAGCCTGCGCTTCTTGGAACCCGTGTAAAGACAAACTCCACAGCTAACAGGACGGGTCACTTGCCACATAGCCACGGAGGTTACAAGATGAGCATGCTAGCACATGCATGAAATCACATACACATATGTTCACAAAACACAGTAGGTACTGCGGCCCAGGTACATACGTGGAATGCAGCCCGCTTTCCTGCAGGTGATTTTTTGTTGAATTACCTGGGAAAGGATCTCGGGTAAGTCCCAGCTGGCTGATGATGTAGCGAGGGATATCAGTCTTCACCAGGTGTCCCTCTTTGGCATGGTCCTCAGCAGCTTCCAATAAGTGGTAAAACTCCTCGGGATTAAACTCCTAGGGAACAGTAGAACAGCTCAGAGTTAGGCCCTGCTTTGGATTGGATCAGGCCTCTTCTCCTAAGACTGCGGGGAGCTAGCAACAATGAGCTGCCTTTGCTTTTTCACAAAAGGGAGAGTTGGTGTGGTGTAATGGTCAGAGCGCTGGGAATGGGGTCAGAGTATCCTAGGCGAGCCTCAACCAGCCACTCTTTCTTTCTCTTTGCCTAACCTACCTTGCAGGGCAATTGTTAGAGTAGAATGGCACAGTCCCCAAGCACACTGTCCTGAGCGTCATGAAGGAAAAATGGAATAATAAGTTTGGGGGTTGGATCAAATGGGTTCTTTGGACCAAATTCTGTAGAAACAGGAAGGCTGCTAAAATGGTCAAACTAGTTTCTTTACTGAGTAAATAACCCTAGCTGCATCTGTTAAGTATCTACTTAATGGTCTTAAGGATCTGTTGGGAGTGTTAATGCTATGAGTTTTCTATCTTCTGCACAGACTATTTGTCTATGGAAGCAAGATCATACAACACAGAAGCACTATCTGTCTCCATCAAGGGAACCAAACCTAAAGTATGTGCAAGTACCCTTGAAACTTCTCACCACTCAGGGACCCGGGTGTGCAAAACATATTTTATCCACAAAAAGCATATGATTTTACCATAGTAAGCAGGCTAAAGATTCTCTTTGGGTTACTTGTTTACAAACAAAGGTCTGCAAAAATGGGGTGCTGTGGGCCATAGAAAAAGGCTGGTGCAACGTGGATTGGCCAGAGGTTACAAGATGGTTAGGCTTATGCTAAATGATGAATTGGTGTCCTCCCATTTCACTTATTTTATTCTATGATATCAAATATACCAACTGTGATGCAGACTGATTTATGTAGCTGAGCCAGGGATTTCTGTGTTTGTGCTGTGAGGATCCTACAGTGAGGGAGTGAAGGAATTATGTGACTGAGGTTTCGATCTGAACCATTATACTGCTGTGTGGCAATTTTGCAGTTTGCTTAATATGACAAAGTAATGGGTTGCAACCTCTTTGTGAATCAGAAATTCAACTAAGTTTCACTCAGGGTAGCTCTACTGGCATTCATAGACCAAACTTGGCCATGTTCATTAATTTCCATGGGGCTACCTAGTTGATCACACCACCCAAATTTTAAAAATAATGTAGGCTACAGATCTAGCTGCAGCAATTTAGGTTGCTTCTAAGGAATGAAGGCTATGAAAGAGTAATCAAAAGACTGATTCTGATTGCAGTGTGTTTGGTTTTGTGGAGTTGGAAAGGATGGGGAGAGACAAAGCAGTAGACAGGGAATCAGAGAGATGAGACTGGGGAGTTATTATAGAAAAATAGGAATTTGAAGTGTTCCAACTTAACCTTGGAGAAAGCTTTATGTGTTTTTGCTTCCCTTGAACTCCCAGGTCCAAAGGAAACAGTATCAGGGGAACCAGTCCCAGTTCCTGTGCTAGAAGAAATAAAGGAGGAACAGAATCATTTGCCCAACACTGTTTCCTTCAGATCTGGGATTCTTCATCAATCAGTCACAAGCCAACAGTGGCGGAGAAAAACACTTGAAAAAGGAATAAGGAAATCAAACAGCTTCCCATCAGCCAGCTTTTGGCAAAAACAAACTGACAACTAAGTATATACATATATGATAAAAAGAGGCGTAATCAGTTGCTTGCTCTCCTCCTTTTCAAACAAGGGATGCCCACACAAGCCCAGCAACTGATACTGCATTGGCTTGGCACAGCCTCCTGCTCCTCAAACCACCTGGCAACTAGCAAGGCTGAGGAAGCACATCCTGTGATTGGATGGTATGTTGCCAGGGAAACCGGCAGGTGGATGAAAGCTGATGCCCTGTGGATGGCAGAGAGCAGAGCCAGGATTAAGAGGCAGAAGGAGAAGCAACTGGTGCCAAGGCTCAAGGGTGCCCGGCTCAGTGCTAATACTTAAGTCGTGGTACGAAGGACTGAACACTTTTCCTGGACTATGGCTCCTCCCCACATACAGGACTGATGAACAGGCACCAGGATGAACTCCTACCATGTGGGAACAAAGCTGACAAAAGTAACACAAGCCAGGATGTCCTTTGTAGGCAGAATTAAGGGCTGGTCCAAGATGTGCTGGGGCAACACCAAATCCAAATTGCTGCCTCACCTCTAATTAGAATGAAGAATGACTTGCTGAAGTCTTCAGTTAAAGCCCTGTTTAAACTAATGAGCACTGGGCCATGCTCAGGAGAACTTTCTGGGAGATTGAATACTTGCACAAGATCTGTCTCCCTCCCAGTTTGCCAACCCTTAATTTATTGACCAATGTGGGTGCCCTAAAGATGCCTCTTTCACTTTCTGCCTCATAGAAACAGTTACAGAGCAAGGATAGTGAACATGTGGCTCTCCAGCAGTGTTTGGACTCCAGCTCCCACAATAGTTCAATAGATTTCCCCCCCTTCCCAATGATTTTCACTACCCGTATGATCAAATCCTTCTTTGGCTGTGTGTGCCCTTTTCCTTAACCCAGTGGTTTTCAACCAGTGTGCCGTGGCACCCTGGGGTGCCTTGAATGATGATCAAGGGTGTTGCAGGCAACACTGGCCTCTGTCCCCCTTTCCTTCCCTCCCTTCTCAGATTGCCTCCCCAAGGCTTGCACAGCTGTTTATTGCAGCAGCCCTGGGTATAAGCTTTGGGAGGCACCTCTCTTTGGGGCAGGGGGCACAGCTCAGAGACCAGGGATGGCGGCAGCAGCTAGAGGACTCCCAAGGAGAGGGGAGAGGAGAGGAGGCTGAGGGAACATTCCACAAGGGAGGGTGTTCAAAAAAGGGTGAGAGGCTGCCAGCTCTGCAGGCAAGGGGTGACAGAACTGGACTCCTGAGCCCCACAGGGATGCTGCAGAAAAAATGTAGTTAGTTAAGGGAGCCGTGGACTCAAAAACGTTGAAAACCTCTGCCTTAACCTTTTGTGTGCAGTCTGATAGTTACTGAGTAATACCCTGTATTTACATCACGCTTTTTCATTTTGACTGCATAACTGGTGTTGAAAATACCAGTGGACTGTGGCTCATTTTAAGCTCTGATAGTGCATGGTTAGGATGGAGACAAGAACCCCTGAATTTGCTTCCCAGCTCTGGAAGAGGAGGTAGCCCTGGGAGAAGAGGTGGTATCCGTTTGTGGTGTCTGTCCCGCCCCCCGTTTCCGCCCCTGGCTAGCTAGCAATGCTTCTTCTGTATTATTTATGGCATATATTTAAAAACCGTTGTCCCATCTCCTATCCCTGTAAGGCCCTCTCAACCTAGGCCAGTGTTTCCCAACCTTTTTTGGGCAAAGGCACACTTGTTTCATGAAAAAAATCTCGAGGCACACCACCATTACAGCCCCGTAACGTCAGCGCGCAGCGTCACGCCGGGAGGGACGCACGAAAGTGTAAGATTCAATTTTCCCCCTCCCCCTTGCCTTCCTTCTGTGCCAACCGCCAAAAAGCCAAGAATCGCGGGACCGCCGGCGGAGGGGGGGAGGGCGAGCGGAGGCAGCGGCGAGCCCCGTTCCTCCCCATCCGCCCCATTCCGTGCAAGGAGCGCGAACAGGTGTGAGAAGGGGGTCAAACCTGCGGGTCGGCGCCGGGGAACCTCCAAGCTTTGGGGGTGGGGGGGAGGAGGCAGCAAAGCGAGGCAGGAAGGAGAGCGCGGCTTGGCGAAGTACTCGGCGGCGAAGGCCAGCAGGTCCGGCGGCCGGTGCCGCAGCACCTCCACCGTGTAGCCCTGCAGCAGCTCAGTCAGACCCGGCGGAATCTCGATGCTCATCTTGTAGCCGAGGCGCGCGGGAGACTCAACGGACGGGCCCGGGAGAGAGAGAGAGAGAGAGAGAGACACGACGGAGAGAGAGCGGGAGTCCCTGCTCGCCGTCGCCACCGCTACAACTACTGTGGCGGTTGGTCGTGGTTGCCGCCGCCGCCGCCCACCTCTATCTATCTCTCCCCCTCAGCTTTCTACGCGGGCCTCGAGCCGGAGGTGGGGGGTGGCCGCCGCCGCTTTCTCCGCCTCCACGTCCTGCCTCCTCCTCCTCAAGCCCTCCGTCAGCCCTGAGGGAACCGCCGCGCTCGCGCCGCCGCTCTCTGACACGCGAGAAAGAGAAAGGAACAGAGCGGCGGGGTAGTCGGGGGAAGGAGGGGCCGGAATGGAAGCGCGAGGCTTCATGCGTCACAATAACGGACAAGAGGCGCTCGAGGGATAGATTAGGACCTAATTTGACTTTTACAAAAAAAAAAAAAATCTTTCGAATTTTCCCCATGGCACACCAGGCAACATCTCGCGGCACACTAGTGTGCCGCGGAACAGTGGTTGGGAAACACTGATTTACACAATGGGCCCCACGTGATTGGCTAATACTCTCCTGTAGGCCAATCAGGTTGCGGATTCCCTTCCACCTGGAGCTGGATTGGGTGGCTCCTGTGGACCAGTAAGACTGCTGCATTCTGGATCCTATTGTTTTAGGACCAATCAGACTGATGCCTTTTGGATCCTATTCAACTCAGTACATAACAGGGTCCATGGTGCAAATATATTACAGTATCTTGAAGAAACCCTATAGAGCAGGGCTGGCTACTCTGTGGACCTCCAGATGTTGTTGGACTCCAACTCCCATCATGTTGGCTGGGATTGATGGGAGTTGGAGTCCTGCAACATCCGGAAGGTCACAGAGTACTAGCTGCCTTTGCTATATTAGACATGAACTCTCAGGGTCAACATGTTAAGGAACTTCAGAGGTTTCTGGTTTGCTAATTAGCAACTCCACAGGGCTGCTTTCCAGCTTGGGGAATTGGTGCCTTTGGGCAAGTCACAGGGTTTGCCTATCATTCGAGAGAGTACAGTATGACAACAACCTCAGGCAGCTCATGGTGGGTGTTATGAAAGTGAAGGAAATTGTTTTCTAATTTATTCCTCTTGTCAGGGATGGGAAGAGGCACTTGTGGTATTTTCTGCTTCAGGTGTCAAAGTTACATCACTGGCCTTGGGCACTATGGTTACGCACCTTGACTGAGTAGCAAAATTTATTGGGCTGGTCCTGTTTGAGGGAAAATTTAAAATCTTTCCCTACCCTGAGGCTGTTCAATAAAGGAGGAAAGAACTAAACACGCTGTATTAGAACACTCCAAAGCAGTCCTATGAGATTTTCGTTTGCAAAATGAAGCCAGGGAAGATCCTGATCATCCATCTTCAGAGTCAGGACTGGTTTAGCTTTCATAGGTGGAATTTTAGATATGACACTGAGCTACAGCTGAAAATAAGCTCAGGCTTAAGAGAGAGAGAGAGAGAGAGAGGGAGGGAGGAGGAGGGAGGGAGGGAGGGAGGGAGGGAGGGAGGGAGGGAGAGTTAATAATAACAAAAGGAGGAGGGGTTTGGTATGTATGAAGCAAAAGGAAGAACAAGGAAACAGTAGGTCCATAGGGAAACCGCCTTCAGACCAGGTCCGGGGACAGTCTGTCCCCCGACCTCTTCTGAAGGCTGGGGGGGGGGGACAAGGGCTTTTCTTCCCACCCCCAGCATTTTAAAAAACCCCGGGACAGCGGAGGACTTCTCCGCTGTCCGGGGCAATCTTAAAATGCTAGCGGGCGGCATTTTAAAATCGCCCGGGACAGCGGAGGACTTCTCCGCTGTCCGGGGCGATTTAAAAGCCCCTGGGAAGGCAGGCAGGGGGGACAAAGATTTTCGCCCCCCGCCCGCCTTCAGAAGAGGTCCTGGACCTCTTCTGAAGGCCGGCGGGGGTCAAAAGTCTTTGCTCCCCCCTGCCTGCCTTCCTGGGAGAGCGGAGAAAGGCAGTGCGTTTCTCCGCTCTCCCGGGAAGGCAGGCAGGGGTGAAAGTCTTTGCTCCCCCCCGCCTGCCTTCAAAAGCCGTCGGGGACAGCGGAGAAACGCGCTGCCTTTCTCCGCTCTCCCGGGAAGGCAGGCAGGGGGGAGCAAAGACTTTTGCCCCCCGCCGGCCTTCAGAAGAGGTCCTGGACCTCTTCTGAAGGTGGGCGGGGGCGAAAGTCTTTGCTCCCCCCTGCCTGCCTTCCCGGGAGAGCGGAGAAAGGCAGCGCGTTTCTCCGCTGTCCCGGACGGCTTTTGAAGGCAGGCTTTTGAAAGCCGTCCGGGACAGCGGAGAAACCCAGCGCGCCCTTGCCGCTGCCCCCCGACTTGGCTGGAAGGCTGGCGGGGGGAGAAGCCTGCTCCTCCCCATTGCCAGCCCTGCAAACTCGGGGGACAGCGGGAGAGGCGCAGCGCGCCATCCCGCTGTCTCCCGACATGGTTTGGAGGCTGGCGGAGGGCTTCCTCCTCCCCCAGCCCCGCAAGCTCCCAGAGCGATGCCAAAGCTGCGCGCAGCTTCGGCATGGCTCTGGGTCCCGTTCTGGGGGAGGGGGAAACTCGGGCTTCCCCCGCCCCAGCCCCACGCCTGGCGGTGGGGGAATAATTTTTTTCCCCCTTTATTCCCCCCCCCCCGCCAATTTTTCCCGCGGCACACCAGGCAACGTATCGCGGAACACCGGTTGGGAAACACTGACCTAGGCTACAATGCAATTATTAAAAACTTGATATACAGGCAACAGGATGCATGGCAGCACTCTTAAAATACATGTCCACCTAAAGGATGTTTTGGAGAGTGCATCCTCTAGAGACAAAGGGAATTGGAAACTTCTGGGGTCCATTGGTGGGAATAGCCAACAGGCCTTGAACAAAGGGAGAAGATTCCAGTGGGCCTTGTGTTGAGTTAGAGCAGCTATGTTCATGCATTCCATTCATTTTAAGGAACTTTGTGCGCACACATGATTTTTATGTTCTTCCTAAAACATGTACATTGCCTTCTCATTTGCTGTGCACAGCCCACACGTTGTCCCTCAGGGATGTCATATGTTGTAAGAGTTCCTTCAAATGGACCATTAATTGCTACTGTGTGTAAAACATAAAACATGCCTCTAAAGAAGTGTTGTAGGCTCTAGCTGGGTACAGTACTTTGTGTGTGTGATGTTAGAACCCACAACATAGCTCCTATCTGCCGGCCGCTTCATTGTAAATTTATGTTTTGAGTGTTCTGGTGGCTCCCTGCTACTCCTATCACATAACTCCTTTGCAGCAACATGCATTAGCAAATGAAAAAGGAGGATGGTGGGAGAACAGCAGAACGGCACTCTTCTCCCCATCCTCACAGCAATGCTACCTGTCACAATCCCAGAGTCAATGACCAAGATATCAAAGAGGCAATAGGGCTAGTGGCTGAGGTGGTGGACTAGGTTCCTGGCTTTGAGCATGATACTGAGCCCACTGAACCTGAGGTTGGCGGACAGGAAGCTCCAGGGCTGGATCCTACAGAACCAGAGCCCATAAACCCACAGCCTTGACCCTTACAGGTGCCTTCCCCTTGACCTGAGAAACTGAGCCCCTCACCAGTCCAGAGAGTGCAACAGGCAGGAGATCATGGAGTGATCTTGATGTGAACATGTGGGAATATATCAAGTGGCAACAGAGACATACAGCTTTGACTTCTGCCAATTCCTAGGGAAGCAGACAGACACGTATACCCCTCAGTGCCTCACCAGGCATTCCAGCAGCCGGGCTGGTCGGGAGATGATAATGAGCAGCTTCTTCACAAGCTGAGTGACAAAGGTCACCTCCTCACTCTCAGAGCGCTCATAGGCCTGTAAGCAATGGAAGAAGGGGCTTGTTAAGAGAATGGTTTTGGTTGCAGTCATCTCCATGGCATGCCACTGTGCCCACAAGGAACACCTCCTCATCACCCCACTCAGAGTCCCTGCTCTCACATGGCTTGTTTCGTCCATCATGGTTGCTTCCACCATAACTTGCTGCCACTCACACCTAAACCCAAATTTCTCCAGAAATTACTCCAATTCAACCCAGCTCCCTCCCTTTGACCACTGTTGCCTCTCCTGACTGTATCTTTTTTATTCACTGCCGTGCAAAACTGACTTCTTCCGCACATCTTGCCGTGCACTGCACATTCACTGAGAGGCCCCGTGCTCACATCTTTCAGAAGTTTCTCCATGTTTTCCTGCAGCTCATAGAAGTAGACAGTGGTGATGAGGCCTTCTTGGGACTTGGCTAAACAGTCTCGTGCCAGCTCAATGACTTGGTGGTGGATGAAACTAAGAGCCCCATCAGCCAAGGGCAACACACTGTCTGGCTCATAGCTCTTGATGAAGTCTTTCAGCTTCTCTTCCATCTGCGCCGTGGCCTGTGAGGGTTAAGAAATTAGAGCTCTTGTGTCAGGAAAAAGAGGAGTCTAGTAAATAACCCAGAATAGGCATTGCTCCTTTCTCAAAGCTAGGAAAAGTATAAGGGAATCCTGATTCCCAGGCCCTCAACTACAACCCAGTTCACAGCACCCTCTGTGCTCTCCCTGTAAAAAACCAAAAATTCTGGGTCATGAGAGCCCTTCCTTTTTATCACCTTCCTCTAAAAGAATCACTTGCTGTATCACAACTACACCACAATAAGACACAACATCTAACAAGGCACATCCAACCACAGGGGCTCTCTTTCTTTCTCAGTCTTATAAGGCATAAGGTATTTCTCTTCTCCATCATATCTTTTTATATAAATAACAATTACACACCCTAGTCGGGTATCATTGTACCTGTTTGCTTCCATTTCTGTGCCCAGTTCTTATTCCCATTACCCTTTCTCAGTGTGTTTGTTTGGAATGTGGGCTATTGCAATAATCATGAGAGAATGAGACAAAGTAAAACAATGAAACACTGCTCTGGGCAGGAGTATTCAAGTTTTAAAATGTAAATTAAGGGCTGATCCATACTTTTTCCAGACACGATCCACGGTGTAAAACTCCGTGTCATAGTGCTCCTTTTTCTGCTGTGAAACACCACTCTTTAAAGCCCAATCGGAGCAAAAGGCAATCTGCAGAAAACCCAAATGGACATTTGCTCCAATTGAGCACTAAAGAGTGGGTTTTTACAAATAAAGCTCCAGGACAAAACACACACATACACACACACTTGGACTCAGAGCTTTTAAGCATGGAGCTGTGTCCAGAAAGAGTGGGACAAAAAAAAAGCCCTAAATTTACATGCTAAGTGTCAAGACAGGTAGATTGTCCGTCTTTTGTCAATGGAAAGTGGCTAAATGAAACAAATCCCTTTGCCTCTAGCAGCCATTTTCCAGGATTCCGGGCAAAATGGTCCCTGTAGGATGTTATTTGATGGAAATGAAATCTTTAGATTCTGCCTCCGACTATAACCCTTACCTTGGGGAATCGTTCCTTGTACACATGATTCATCATTACTATCTCATTGTCATAGGAGGATGGGGACCGGCCCGGGCTGCAAAGGAATAAGAATGCATCAGCTCCTGGTATCTTCTATTTTCCTGCACTCCCCATCGCCCTGAATTCTATTTGGGCATTTCTCACTTTTCTTTATTACTACTTAATCTTTATTCTTTCGTTGCTAATGGTGTGAAATATACTGTATGGAAGAAGTGGGGAGAAGGTAGATTGGGATCTATGGTAAATCTCTGGGTACTTTGCAGGAGACTTGGAAAGGGTTTTTTACACACACAAAAGACTTCCCTCTCACTTTCTGAATAAGGCTGTTGAAATAAAGAAAACACGGTGTTATCAGAATGGATTTTTGTGTGAAAAGACTGTGAGGTCAGTTGTAATACTTAAAAACAAACTCATGGGCTGAGTGTGTGCTCAGAGGCACCACACTCTCCATTTCTAACTGTCTTGTGCGCTTGGCTTCCAGCAGTTCCAGTAAAATAGAAAACAGATTCCGAGACCCCAGCCCCTGCGTACAGAAAAGATCAGTGTGGTGTTCAGTATTACCCATATTGCTTCCTATACAGTCAAACCTTGGATCCCAAACACCTCCATTTTGGAACGCTTCGGCTCCCAAATGCCAAAAAACCGGAAGTAAATGCTCCAGTTTTCAAACATTTTTTGGAAGCTGAACGTTTGACATGGCTTCCACTTGAGTGCAGGAAGCTCCTGCAACCAATCGGAAGCCGCGCCTTGGTTGTCAAACATTTCGGAAGCCGAATGGGCTTCTGGAACGGATTACGTTCTCCAACTGAGGTTTGACTGTATTATCCTATTGCTTTCCTTAACCAAAGGCAACACTTTCAGAATGGCACACAAACCTTCTTGGCGAGATGTACAGGGAACCATTAGCAGGAGCTATTTAATCACAGTTCTCTTCAATTAATTGCTTCCCAGCAGGCAGGACAGTAGAAGAGCCATTTGTATTCAACCTGTTTAACCTTTCCTCCTGGCCTGGATCATACCAATGTGAGAAAGTAAAAGCACAATCCTCTAATGTCTACTCTTAGAACTTCAACAGGACTTACTCTTAGGTAAATATATATAGGATTGCAGCCTAATGGTAGAATTCAAATAACTAATCCCATCGGTCTTTATCACATTTGAAATGCAACAAAAGTCATATTTGCTGAGTTGCTAAGCTGTTTTGTGCTTATTTTCTTAGATGTTTGATGTATCATTATACAATGGTACCTTGGTAGTTGAACGGCTTGGCTCCTGAACAAATCGGCTCCTGAATGCCACAAATCCGGAAGTAAGTGTTCCGGTTTGCAAACATTTTTCGGAAGCCAAACGTCCGACACGGCTTCCGCAGCTTCTGATTGAGTGCAAGAAGCTCCTGCAGCCAATCAGAAGCTGCGCCTTGGTTTTCGAACCATTTCAGGAGTCAAATGGACTCCTGGAATGGATTAAATTTGAGAACCAAGGTAGGACTGTGTTTCTTTTTGTCTACGTAAACCTCATTCTTTCTTTAATATTACTGGAGGCCTTTCATTTGTTGCTGGACTATGACTCCCATCAGCTCTGATCACTTGGCATCCTGGCTGGGGCTGATGGAGCTGATGTCCAGCAGCATCAGGAGAACCAGAGATTCCCCACTTCCTAGAGCAGGGGTCTGCAACCTTTAAGACAAAAAGAGCCACTTGGACCAGTTTCCAAAGGGAAAAAAACCTGGGAGCCGCAAAACCATTGCAACATTTAAAGCATGTGCGCCGCTGCCCTCCGATCTGACAGCGGGCGGGAAGGTGACGTCGGGACGGTGCGTGACTAATGCACGCACCGCCCCCATGCGACGTCACAGCCAGTACAGCGCCCGCCACAGTGGGGAGTGTCGGGGCGCACAATGCGCCTCCTCCCCTCGCTAGTATCCGCCCCGGAGCCGCGGCAAAGGTGTGAAAGAGCCACATGCGGCTCCGGAGCCGCGGGTTGCAGACCCCTGTCCTAGAGGCATATTCAGAGCACAGATCATTGCACTAAAATGCTTCTTAGCAAATACACTCCATTGTTGTTGTTTTTGGGGGGGAGCTTAGGATATACCCATGCCAGCCAGGGTTGACCCTGAATCAAACTGGAACACTAGTCTTTTATCCCATTCTATACACCTTCAATAATTTCACTGCAAGTCTCTCATTTGCTTATATTCCTACAAAAGTCTCTGAGTGAAGGATGAATGTGCAATGAACATACAAAGGACCCAAGGGAGTTGCTCTGCAGGGTGACGGCTGCTCCATCCTTACCTGAGGCTCCGGGACCGGGGCCGCACAGCAGGGGACCTCCGCCCCCCGTCATCATCCGTAATACTCTCACTGCTGCCGAAATGCTTGGAAAGGAAATGCAGCTCATCCATAGTGGGCTGATAAGGCAGCTGGTGAAGGCGCTCTTGGGAGGAGCAGGATGACTGCAAGGAAGAAACAGAATTGGCCCTAAGCTGATGCCAAGTGTCAGCTCTTTGCAAATGTCTTCCCAAATCTGCCACGGAAATGTATCTAGGTCTGGGAAATGGCCCAGTTCCTATACGTGGGCTGCATAGCCTTCTAAAATATGCAACAGTTTTACTGCAGGAACAAAATATAATCCAATTGCCAATGCAACATGATAATTGTTAATGCAGAATGGTTTTCGTATGTCAGCTGGGCATTAACCCACAGAATGTGACTGAATCCAGGAAGCTGCTTAAACCATCTGGCCACTGGCCCATTTAGCTCGGCATAGACTACACCAGCCTTCTCTGTCCTGTTTGCCTCAGCCAGCACAGCAGAGGTGATATTGGGGTGTGGGTTGTAGTCCAAAACATAACAGAGGACACCAAGTTGGCAGGAGGTTGCTCTATGGTTTCAGGCACGCATATTTTCCGAGTCCTCCCTGGAAATGCCAGGAATGGGTTTTGTGACCTTTCATATAGAAAGAAAGCATTCTACCACTGACCTACAGCCCTTCAGGTTGACCTGAAGCTAAGAATTCCAGATGTTATTACAGTGAACCACAGATACACACACAAAGATGTTAAAGATTGCACTGAGTTATGTGACAACATGTGCAATGGGTATGCAGTCTGCACCCTCAACCTGTGCTGAGTGCTCACATTATGTAGACACCTCTTCTCCTAAGGGTGCCGCAAGGCAACCCAGACTGACAACACTGACTCTCCTCCCCTACCTCTGGCCTGTATGCTAGGGTTGCCATATCTTGAAGAGAGAGGGGGACAAAAGACAGCCAGAGCTGCTGCCAGCCCGAGCCAGGGAAAGCGGTGCAAGGGTGTGCAGGGCCGCTGCACCCATGTGCCTCTCTCCCTGGTTCAGGCGGACAGCAGCTGTGGCGTGCAGAGCCACCCGTGCCCACGCCAAACCCCACCCCAATTTCAAAAACCCCAGACATTTCCTTTAAAATGTAAAAATCCCCCCGTTTACCCCGCAAAAGAGGACATGTCTGGGATTTCCTGGACATAAGGCAACCCTGTAGTGGACACGCAGGGCTCTTGGGTGGGGGGTCAATAGCTGCAAACTGGGAGTCAGTTGGCCCACACGTAGTTTTAGCAATTTCTACCACCGTATTTATGATTTAGACTTGCATGGCTAGCCTGTCCTCAAACACCCCAGCAGAGTCTTTGGGCCACTGTCCAATAAACAGCCCCCATAACCAGTCAAATCTTGCCTCCCTCCCAGATCTTCTTAATGGCAGGAAGGTCTTACCGATACAGTGGAGCTGGGAGTGTTGGTTCCATATCCAGATGATGGCAAGGAAGCCAAGGACCAGCGCCTGCCATCTGCCCTGAAATGATCAAAATGAACAGGAACTTTAAGATAGCCCATAGTTTAAAGATTCAGGCAGAACCAGTTCTGATGGGGGGAAAAGAAAAAACCCATATTGCCACAAAATCCATGTTTCAACCATTTGTGCTTTCTTCGCTGGTATCTCCAGTAAACCATCTGGCTGGAAATAATTGCCTGTTCAGACTTTCAGGACACAAGAAGAAGAAGAGTTCGGATTTGATATCCCGCTTTATCACTACCCTAAGGAGTCTCAAAGCAGCTAACATTCTCCTTTCCCTTCCTCTCCCACAACAAACACTCTGTGAGGTGAGTGGGGCTGAGAGACTTCAGAGAAGTGTGACTGGCCTAAGGTCACCCAGCAGCTGCAGGTGGAGGAGCGGAGACGCGAACCCGGTTCACCAAATTACGAGTCTACCGCTCTTAACCACTACACCACACTGGCTCTCACACAAAGGTGAGTACAAAGCATATGAGCTTGAATGTTACACTATGCCTCTCATATTGAACTCTATCTTGACATATATGTCAAACCATTTAGGTACAGCCTAGAAAACCTCTCTCTATTACTGTAGACACAGATCCATTTGTGGGCTTTAATGAGGCTACATAGAAATACCAGAAACTTTGCTAAGGGTAACTGACAATGCAGTGAATGGAGGATGGGGCTGGGAGCTCTATGGGCTTGAACACTATGATTCCCATCAACATAATCCCTTATTCTTTGTCCCCCAGTATATGGTGTCCAAAAACATGCTGCAGGGATTGGCAACGTGGTGACCTTCTGACATTTTGGCTCCAGCTCCTATCAGCTCCAGCCAGCATGGTCAAAAGTCAGGGATGATGGGAGTTGTAGTCCAACAACATCTGGAGGGCAACACATTGCCTACCCGTGCAGTATGTTGCTTCTGAATGCAGAGGTTCTATTAGTTTGCCGACCTTAGTTTGCCGACCCCTGATCTAGATTCTAGAGGATTCTTGGCCAGTCCCGCTGCCCCCACTGCCCCAAACACAGCCTCTTTCAGGGGTTTATGTGGGGGATACCACTGGCAGCAGCTCCCACCTGCTTGTATCGTTGACAGGTGCAGTGAGGACCTCCACAGCAGTGAGGGCTCCTGCCAAGAGAACCTGGCTGCATTTGAGTGGAGGGAAATCTCTGCCACTTCTTAACTTCCTCCAGCACAGCAGATTGAGGGTTAAACTTGCTCTGTTATTTTGCCCAACCTGAGCTTCCTGCCAATCAATGTTACTTGGGCACCCTCAAATTCTGTTATCCTCAGAGAGAAAAATGTCTCATTTTCCACATTGTTGATGATTTTAGACCCCTCTGCCCTTGCTCCCTGACTTTTTACGTTAAAAAGTTCCAAGTGATTTGGACTTTTTTCATGGGGAATGTGCTCTTGAAGCATTTTCACATGCTAAGATGTGTGCAGGGCCAAGCCCTCTGCCCCCTCCAAAAGCTGCATAAGCTCAATTCAGGTGCAACGTAGGTTCAAAGATGTACAGTTTGAGCCTGGACCAGGAAAAAAGAGACTTGATTGTGTAAACTAGCTGCTATATCAATGAAAGCTATAAACACACTGACAAGTGGTGTTTGGCTGTTGCAATTAATCTTCTGGATCCAATGACAATTGATTAGCCTGGCCTTGAATAATTAATCAAACTTTCATGTTTGAAGTGTTTGCTAAGTAATCTGGCCAGGCTGTAGTGTAATTTAGGGCTCATCCACAATTCTGCTCGTTCCACACCAAGAAAGCATGGATCTGAGCAGTTTCCCCCTTGCCCCACACCTTTCCCAGGGAAAACCCGCTCTTTAGTGCTAAATCAGAGCAAACACCAATTCAGAGAAAACCTGAATTGCCATTTGCTCTACCGCTCTTAACCACTACACCACACTGGCTCTCACACAAAGGTGAGTACAAAGCATATGAGCTTGAATGTTACACTATGCCTCTCATATTGAACTCTATCTTGACATATATGTCAAACCATTTAGGTACAGCCTAGAAAACCTCTCTCTATTACTGTAGACACAGATCCATTTGTGGGCTTTAATGAGGCTACATAGAAATACCAGAAACTTTGCTAAGGGTAACTGACAATGCAGTGAATGGAGGATGGGGCTGGGAGCTCTATGGGCTTGAACACTATGATTCCCATCAACATAATCCCTTATTCTTTGTCCCCCAGTATATGGTGTCCAAAAACATGCTGCAGGGATTGGCAACGTGGTGACCTTCTGACATTTTGGCTCCAGCTCCTATCAGCTCCAGCCAGCATGGTCAAAAGTCAGGGATGATGGGAGTTGTAGTCCAACAACATCTGGAGGGCAACACATTGCCTACCCGTGCAGTATGTTGCTTCTGAATGCAGAGGTTCTATTAGTTTGCCGACCTTAGTTTGCCGACCCCTGATCTAGATTCTAGAGGATTCTTGGCCAGTCCCGCTGCCCCCACTGCCCCAAACACAGCCTCTTTCAGGGGTTTATGTGGGGGATACCACTGGCAGCAGCTCCCACCTGCTTGTATCGTTGACAGGTGCAGTGAGGACCTCCACAGCAGTGAGGGCTCCTGCCAAGAGAACCTGGCTGCATTTGAGTGGAGGGAAATCTCTGCCACTTCTTAACTTCCTCCAGCACAGCAGATTGAGGGTTAAACTTGCTCTGTTATTTTGCCCAACCTGAGCTTCCTGCCAATCAATGTTACTTGGGCACCCTCAAATTCTGTTATCCTCAGAGAGAAAAATGTCTCATTTTCCACATTGTTGATGATTTTAGACCCCTCTGCCCTTGCTCCCTGACTTTTTACGTTAAAAAGTTCCAAGTGATTTGGACTTTTTTCATGGGGAATGTGCTCTTGAAGCATTTTCACATGCTAAGATGTGTGCAGGGCCAAGCCCTCTGCCCCCTCCAAAAGCTGCATAAGCTCAATTCAGGTGCAACGTAGGTTCAAAGATGTACAGTTTGAGCCTGGACCAGGAAAAAAGAGACTTGATTGTGTAAACTAGCTGCTATATCAATGAAAGCTATAAACACACTGACAAGTGGTGTTTGGCTGTTGCAATTAATCTTCTGGATCCAATGACAATTGATTAGCCTGGCCTTGAATAATTAATCAAACTTTCATGTTTGAAGTGTTTGCTAAGTAATCTGGCCAGGCTGTAGTGTAATTTAGGGCTCATCCACAATTCTGCTCGTTCCACACCAAGAAAGCATGGATCTGAGCAGTTTCCCCCTTGCCCCACACCTTTCCCAGGGAAAACCCGCTCTTTAGTGCTAAATCAGAGCAAACACCAATTCAGAGAAAACCTGAATTGCCATTTGCTCTGATGGAGCTCTAAAGAATGGTTTCCCCTGGGGCAAAGCTGCAGGACAAGAGAAAGTTTGGATAACCATCACCAGTGGTTAGGGATGATGGGAGTTGTAGTTCAACCATGCCTGGAGAGATACTGTCACACAGCTTAACCTGCCTGGCAAGGTTACTGAGAGGATAAAACACAGCGATTATCTTCCCAGAGAAGTGCCCTTGGCGGATTCCCCTGCAATTCTCAGAAGACTCAACAGAACTTTGCTTTTGGAGAAGGTTCAAGTCTCTTTGGATTCATGACTATTTTGGTGTTTACCTTTGTTTCTTTGCTAAACTATTTTGTAGATTTCATGTTTCCAGTTGCGCTAGTGGGAGCCAGTGCAACAAGTTCTGCTATCTCTTCTTTCCTTCCCTTCCCTCCATGGCCCCATCAGTTTGGGGACAGGGATTGAGAGAAATTTAAGTTTGATTTAAATATTCCCATCTTTGCTTCCGTATAATTAAAAATATTCATGCCCAACACAGCTCCCCTTTCAGCCTCTTTCTTTGGCGAGGTTTTTAAAAATACCTCTCTTGCTAATAAAGCCAGTTCCACAGAATGCCTTATATCAAATTGTACCTGATAAAGGCAGAAAAAGTGATTCAGTAGTTATGTGTGATGGTGGTATAGCTTTCAGGGGTGTAAACCGGATTACTGAAAGTGGAGCACCTGGGTGAAATAGGGAATGCCACAAACCCTTTAAGGAATTGCAACCCCAAACCCCAACGGCAGTTCTGGCGCAAGGGTTGATTCTAATTAGAGTCCTTGCATTAGAATTTTCCTCCCAGTTCTATTTTCCCTTCAGAGGTTCAGAAAGAAAGGAAAGCACAAGAGAAAATGTCCTTGTCAACATAGGGCAGATTCACACCATGCATTTAAAGCACATTCAACACACCTTTAAAACGTATGGCTTCCTAGGGACTGTTGGGTGCAGGGAATTGTAGCTCTGTGAAGGCGAAACTACAGTTCCCATGATTCTTTGGGGGAAGTCACATGCTCTAAATGTGAGTTGAATGTGCTTTATATGTGTGCTGTGGACCTATGCTGCATCTCAGACTTTTTTATGCATGCTAGAGGGTCAACTTTCTCCTCCCCCAGCCTCAGGAGGACTCCACCTACAGATGTCCTATTGGTTTGCCCTGACCCAAGCTAGCTATAAAACTTCAGTGGTGGGTCTGGGTCTTCGTCTGGGCATGACAACAACTAGCCTTGACCTTGTTGACTCTCTGGTTGTTATCTTTTAGGTTATGGCATCTTGTTCCCAGTATGTTTGGAAAGGTACCTTACCTTCGATCCTAGCTACTGTGTGACTCTGTTTTGGACTGTCCCTTTCTGCATCCTTTGGCCAACAATTTCCAAAGCTTTCTGGCAAAGCTTCCCCCATCCCTCAGTCTTGCATCTGGAACAGCTGTGACTATTTACTGTCCCATGCAAGCACCCCGGCCCTCAACCCTGTGCTTTCTGCAAATAGCCAACAGCCTCCTCCTTTTATACGATGTATTAGGCAGCCTCAGCGAGTTTGTTAGGGCTGCCATACGTCCGGATTTTCCCAGACATTACTAGGATTTCGAAGGTGGAATTGATGTTGGGGTGAATTTCCGAAAGGCGGCACTTTGTCCTGGATCTTAGGCAAGTCTATTAAAAAAAATATCATTTTTTTGGCATTTTTGTAAAGAAAAGCTCAACAACTTTTGGCTTTTCCTAAAAAACCCCCCACAATTCAACAATTTCAATGGTTTCCTAAAAAAAAGCTCTTTCGGGGTGTCCTGGTTTGTTCCAATCTATACACTTTGCTTGATTTCTCTCTCATTCTCTCTCTCTCTCTCTCTCACTGACACGAGTGACTTTGCAAGTTCCACGGAATAAGGTATTTTCTAATCATACTCCTGTGATAAAACCGTACGTGTGTTTTAGTCCAGTGTGAAAATTCACAGAACAGAGATCTGTAAACGGCTCAGGGCGGATTTTACTCAGCACTTTGTTGATGGCAAGATGGAACTTCACAGTCTGTTCCCTTGCTTTTGGGGGTGGGGGGTGGGTGGGGGCAGAAGCTGCATGGGCATGACTATAAAAAGAGCAAAGAGCAGATGGGGAGTGGGGAGCAGCAGCTCTAGAGTCTTCAACCGCCTCAAATGTTCCTGTATGCCACATTCTGGCAGCATGGCCTGGTAGATCAAACACGAGAATGATAGCCAGGAACCTGCAGTTCTCCTCCGAAGCCTTTGAGAGGGATAGGGACTTCTTGGGATGGGCTGGTGGGGAACTGAGAGATTGGGCAGGGGCTGAAGCAAGAAAAAAGTATGAGGAATGGATATGAGGTGGTTCTCCTTGTGGACAGAGCAACTGGTTTCTACCCCAAGTGGGCTTCCTTTCACTCAGTAGTCTATGGGAACTTTGCCCAGGAGACTCTGCCTCTGAAGCCAGACGTGGGAAGATGGTGGGACTTCATCAAATAAGGACTGCAAGTGGAGAGGCAGGTCTCCCATGAGGCAAATATCTAGGGGGGCTTGCTATACTATCAGTAGCTATAAGCGGCATGGCAAGACTTATTTTTGTGTGTGTTTACTCCCCTACCCCCAAATTCGCAACCCTTCATTTTGCCCATTGCAAAATATGCTGGTAAACCTTAGTTCTTGACTATTTTCTGCTGTTGTTTTTTTAAGGTGTGGTTATATGTGTAGGTAAAAAAGTAATGGAAAAGGACCCCTGGACAGTTAAGTCCAGTCAAAGGCGACTATGGGGATGCAGCGCTCATCTCGCTTTCAGGCTGAGGGACCTGGTATTTGTCCACATACAGTTTTCCAGGTCATGTGGCCAGCGGGACTAAACTGCTTCTGGTACAACGGGACACCGTAACGGAAACCAAAGCACATGGATATGCTGTTTATCTTCCCGCTGCAGCGGTACCTATTATCTACTTGCGCGGGTGTGCTTTCGAACTGCTAGGTTGGCAGGAGCTGGGACAGAGCAACAGGAGCTCACCCCGTCGTGGGGATTCGAACTGCTGACCTTCTGATCAGCAAGCCAAAGAGGCTCAGTGGTTTACACCACAGTGCCACCTGCATCCCTGGTTATATCTATGTCTATATCTATCTGTGCTCATGCCAACCTTAAGTAAATGTTAATGGAGGGTGTGTATGTAATAACTGAGGGGAGCGGGCACCACAAGGATACACGCAACTAGTGCAGATGCAAAACACTGGTTTAGGAATCAGAGGCAGAAAATTTAAATGACTCATTTGTGGACACTGTTGCACCCAGGTGCATACGTAAAAAGTGGACTACTCATTGTGCAATACCCCTGTATGGACACAGCAGTGGTCAGTGAAAGAGTCCGGGTTTGCAGTGGAGATTCCCAAAAGCCATTGGACACCAGAGCCCCAAAGAATGAGGGACTGCTCTTACCTGCGGGAGGAAGCGAAGGAAAAGTGGGCTGGTGTATTGGGGGAAAAGTTCCGAGGGCTGTCCAGAGGGCTGCTACCTGTGGACAGGGCAGGAAAAGAAGACACAAAAGGGAAATCAACACATTGCCTCGTGAGACTGCCAGAGGATCAAATCGAATTATTAACCCTGTCTCACTCAAGGAGCCAGCATATTCATATTCATATTCAGAGCCTGCCATAATGAGAAAGGTTGCCATAGTGACTCCAGCAACAAGCCATGGGAGGTGATGCAGAGGAATATGAAAACAGAAGACAGAAAGAGGCCAAGAAATAGAATGCTGGATGGGTGAATAAACAAATAAGACAGGTGACAGACAGACAATGGGGGATTAATGATCAAGTGTCAAATGGCTGGGTAGACAGTCAGAGGAAAAGATTTGAAGTCAGGCAGATGGACAGACAATGGCAGGGGTAGTTAGTAAGATGGACAGACGAGAAGGTGCTGCTATATATGTGGCCAGAATAATAGACAGATGGCCTGGGATGCATGGAAAGATGAGAAAAGAAATCAGTGGGAAAATTACAGTTTGGATGCAAAGGCTGACTAGAAGATGGATGAACCCACAAAGACAACATTGGTTCTAAATCAAACTAATATGATTGCTTTGGAGTCAACATAATTCTTATTGCTAAACGTATGGCAAGGCTGACAGGATGGAAACTGGGTGAGGTGGACATGGACTTTAGACGAAATTTCTCTCAATATTTCTGTAGGCATCCTGGCATGTTATGACAAACAGGTATAACACAAGACTATGTCCATCTAATCCTATCCAACTGTAGCAATGTGAAGGAACCCCACATTTTTTTTAAAAAAAAGAGGGTAGATTAAAAAATGAAGGACTTACATTACTGTGTCCTCAGAAGGAACCAAGTGCAACTTATTAGTCCTGGGTATAAGCAATTACTACTCCAAGGTGTGCTTTGTCAAAGCCAGTCTAGCCGGCCTTGTTTGAAGGCCACTGCCTGAGCAGGGGCAGCAAGACAAGGGGCCATATTGTGTTTGTGACCCACCGTGTAGTGCTGGATAAGGCACACCCAGGGTGGAACTCCTCAAAGAAGGATGGGGCAGATCAAGGGCTTAACTCACCAATATGACCTGGGAGTGGAGAGTGAGGCCGCGGCAGCGTCGGTGATGTACTTGTCAGGATCAGGCTCTTTCTGTTACTGGTTCGGCAACTGTACAAAGGGGAGGAAAGAAGGAGAGGGAAAGAAGACAGGCCTAGATCAGGGTGTGTGTGGATGAAAGATGCCAGACCAGGCTGCAGCTCATGTCACTATGTGGTTTGCCTTGAAAGACTGCAGTTAGAAAGCTTGGCCAATCAATTCTCTTTTCAGCTTGGCTGGCTACTCCAAAATGGTAGCAGGTTACCTTCTGTAGTCCTTTCCCAAAGAAGAGCTGGCCAGTAGCCAGGAAGCCCCATTTCCCACTTAACCATTGGCCCACCTTGTGCCATGGAGCTCCCTTATTACTGGGTCAAACCGTTGATCTTCCTGGTCCAGTACTGCCTGTTGAGACTGGCAGCATCTCTCCAAGATCACAAGCAGACTGAGATCCATTTACCGGTAGCTGAAGTCGCTCAGGACAATGACAGAGGCATTCTGCATACAACTATTATCTCTAATAAATAACTGAGCTACAAATCCCTTATGAGAAGGTGTGAAAAGCAGGAGTATTGGTTCAGTGTGGGGAAAGTGTCTACCTAGAGGCAACAGAACTCCACTACAAATGTGGGTGGGCTTATCTAGAGTGTGATCCAAAAGCAGAACTACCAAACTGAGCTCTTTTGCTGCAAGACCTGCCTCCCAACTGAGGCCTTACTGTGCCTGCGTTCTCCGTCTTTCTCACACACAGATACAATCTTTAACTCAATATTGAAATTCAGAAATCCTGGATCCACTCTTGCTTGCTATGATCACATAATACTCAGCTCTTTTTTCCTCTGGAAGGTAACAAAGAGGGCATTGGCGGTGTTAATTAACTGCTATTTGCATGGAACTACGGGTCATACTTAACAGAAGGGTTGAGCCAGATTTTTCCTAATCAACAATTAAGTAGCATTTCTAAGTGTGATTTACAGCCTTATGTGATGGCCTGGGATTCGGACTCAGAGGCTGAACCTGAGGAATCCCAGCCTGCACAGGAGTCCCCGCCTCCAGAACCAGCTGAGCCGGGGCTGGGGCTTGAGCCTGAAGGGTCCTCAACTGTGCTGGATCCTCAGGTGTAGGCATCAGCTGAGTCTGCTCTGGCTCCTGAGGTGATGGAGGACCCATTGCCTGCAGGTGCTCCACTCTCAGCCCCATCAGAGGAAGAGGAGGTTGCCTCTGGGTCCGGTAACCCTCCAGCCTCTCCTGAGTTGCAGAGGCTCAGGGCAGAGAGGCGGAGGGAACTAAGTTCCCGCAGGAGGAGTGCTCGCCTCCAGGCCAGGAGAGGCGAGTCACCTGTGGACTGGGGCCGCCCTATGCCTCGGGGGAGATAAAAGCCAGCCAGCCCCAGTCCCAAGTTGCGGGAGCAATGTTGTTGCTAGCCTGTTCCTGCCTGCATCCTGTCCTGCTCTTCTGCCAGAGTTCCTGACCCCACCCAACTCCCCACCTTGGACCCAGCTACAGCTTTGACGGACAGCCTCCATACCGCTCCCTCGACCTCGGACCGGCCTCGGACCTCACCGCACAGATAACCCTCGGGACCAGCACACCTTACTTCTTTCTCCCCCAAGCCTTAACATTGTCACAAAGGGTTCATTGGCAGGTTATCCACACCTTTCAATGTTTATTAAGCCATAACTAGTCCTCAGATAAGTGAGCTGAACTCAGTGATGAGCTGAGGTAAGGCAAGTCATTCCACAACCCAAGCAGTTCAAGAAAAGAAACTCTGCCATAACGTTTAGGCAGCATAAAGTATATTGGAGTAGCCCCAAGGACAACTCCGTTCAGATGTGTGCCTTGACAAGGCTGTGTTGAATTGCCATGCAGCTCCCAGGTGCAGCTGGCTGGCTGTTAACCTTATTTTGTCAGCTAGTCTTCAGTGCTGTACAAACACTATGGTATAGGTTACTAACTGCACAGGGCTGGATGCTTGCCCAGGTTTATAGCGCTGTCAGTTTCTCAGGCTGCACAGTAGCTTATGGGCTGCCAACAATGGCTTGCGTGTTGTGCAGTGCCTCTTCTGTCCATTGCATGCTAAGGCTCAGGGTTGCAACTGAACAAGTTTGAATTAGCAATCGTCTGAGCCAGAAGAAATGCACCTCCAAGACTCTTCTTGAAACATTCATACGAAAAGCCCAACATGCACAACTGAAAGAGAGCCAAGTGTCCCAACCCTCCATCACAAAAGCTATAGAAAGTTCCCAAGGTGGGCTCCTAGGCGCAAAACTCACACATGCGCCTAGGATAAACAGCACTTCTAAACAAGATATAACTTTGATGGTGTGTCATTCATTGTGTGCCAACAGGATACTAAAGTACATACCACCATATACCCCCCAGAGTGATCCATTATCCTAACGCCTGACACATTCTGAGACTCAGGATCCTGACACATTCTGAGACTCAGGTTTTCCACTGGGGAATAAATTTCATTAAAAAAGACCAATCTTTTGTCTGAGAAAGCAAATGTAGCAAGACCCTTTCATAAATATTGGACCGCAGCTTTGTAGACCCCCTCTACAAATCTCTCCCCCCCCCAAAAAAAACTATTTGCAAAAATACAACACTTTTGCCAGTTGATGATGGTAAAAAGAAGCTAGAAGGAATGCACACAGTGGAGGATGGAATTGGTGTGCAAAAGAAAAAGGGAATTCAGCTAAATGATGGCAAGAGAACGGGTACAGTGCATAACCCTCTTCTCTTTCAAGACTTATGGGAAAGAGGTCCACAGAAATATCTTCTGACACTTACTAACATTCGTATTTCTCTTACAACCATGAAACCTAGAGACATCCCTTTTATTTACGAAGTGAGATTTTTACAATCTGATTTCAAAACCAAACCCAACCTATACACTTTTAAAAAAGTTTCTAGCCCTCATGACCGTGAAGTTACATGTGAAATAGTGCAAGCCTCACCTGATGAATAATAAAAATCAGAGGGCTAACCTAATAATATTTCAGTTGATCAGAGAATGGGGCTTTTAATGTCTTGCCTTGCTTTCCGCATCCCTGATTAACAGGTGCAGAGTTATGCAAATTAATCAAATATAAGCAATGTTGCTTAATTTTCATATTCTTATTACAATTAAAAAAAATTATTACACCCCTACCTTTCTAGGAGCAGAATTTGCATAACCCTGGCACAGAATTGTGTGTGTGTGCTTTGAAAAGGCATGGGGTGTTCACAACCCTGACCAGTTCATGTGTGGCAACTATAAACTCACTTTGCACAGTTCTGTGGCCAAGCAACATTTCCACATCTTGAATTTTTACATCTTGAATTACATACAGTTCTGTCTGATTCCCTCATCTGAGGCCCACCTACAACCCAAGCCAGCCCTGTCTCATTCATACACATCCTAGCATATGCTCCTCCATACCAGACCCAATCTGGTACAGTCACTGTCTTTAGGGCTGTGGCCTTTTCCAGGTGCCCCCTGACTGGGCTGAGAAGAAGAGCCTTGTCACTTCTGATTATTATTGAAAGGACTGAGTCACCATCAGGGCTATATAGATTTTGTCTTGACAGCCAGCCATGATTTCCACTAATCTCTCCGGCATGCTCAGAGGGCGTGGGGAAGAGGCAGAGATTCTCTTAGCTACTGTTGATTTTTAATCTTTTCCTTTTATTTCTGGAATGTGTTTGTAACACCTACTAACTTCCTTAGGGCCCTCATTTTTACGGGACCGCCTCTCCTGGTCTGCCCCGCAGAGGACCTTAAGGTCCGTGAATAACCATAGTTTAGAGGTCCCGGGCCCTAAGGAAGTCAGACTACCCTCCACCAGGGCCAGGGCCTTTTCAGTGATGGCTCCAACCTGGTGGAATGCTCTGTCCCTTGAGACTAGGGCCCTTCAGGATTTAACTTCCTTCTGTTGGGCCTGTAAGACAGAGCTATTCTGCCTGGCCTTTAATTTGAATTCATCCTGATCTTTTATTTCCCTTTTCTTCCCTCCCTCTCCCCTTTTATGAAGATTACCCGCTCTGAGACCCCACAGCTAATTCTCCCCTGGCCTCCTCGCTGGCCCAAGTAGGACCAGTTCAGCCAGCTAGCCCTGGTGACTATCTAATGCTTATGAGATGGATTTCCCCCAAATTGATTCTTGAACTTTGAATTTTATTGTTATTCATGTTTTTATACTGTATTTTATGCTACTTCTACAATTAAGTGTTTTGAATTTGTTGTTAGCTGGCCTGAGCCCAGTTTTCTGAACCAGGAAGGGCGGGGTATAAATAAAAAATTATTATAATTTATTATTTATTGTTATATTTTTTGTAAAGCACTCAGAGGTGTTTGGGTCTTTTGCTTTTCTTTTTCTTCACAATCAAGAGGTATATAAATTTTGTTTAAGTTGATCCAATCTGATCTGTCCTTTTAAAAAATGCATTTCCCCCCAACTTCTCTCCAGAAAGGCTCCTCATAGGCAGTTTCATTTCCTGCCTGCCTTAAGAAACCCTCCTTTGACCCCAGCCACACACCTCACTTTATTGAGCTGTTTTTGGGGTGTGTGCTTCTTTTTTTAAAAAAAAATTAATACTTCTTGACCACCTTTCTCCTCCCCCCCTCCCTCCCCTTTTAATATCTTGTTTTTTAAATCTCTGTGGCATGGTTGATGGCTTTTAGCTCCTGCATTTGATTGTGATTTCAGCTTTTCTGCTCCAGTATTGCACTTGTGTGTATCTGTGTGTCGGTCTTGTTTATTCCTTGAATGCTTTTATGCTGGTCGGATTTTTAAGCTTGTTGTGGATTTTGAATGTATCATTGTATAATTGCTGTGTTTTATTTTTCTGTATCAGGCCTCGATAGTTTATTTTAGGGGGCACCATATAAATGGCAAACGATAAATAATTAAATATATAATATACACATAGCCCCTTCTTCCCAGGCAGAAAAGAGAGTAGGTCGCGCTGACATGACTCCTAACTGTGAGGCTCTATTTACGGCGGGGGCACACATACATGAATCATTGTTTGAGCTCTGTCACTCCATGACTCACAACTGTTTCCATTGAAACAAGGAGCATTGTGTGTGA